CTTCTTTCTGTAGATCCACAATACTGTCAAGATTATTGTCTAGTCTATCCCAAAAACCTACGAGAGAATTAGGGGGTCTGTATATACAACCAAGAAGAATAGGTTTATTGTTAGTTGTTACTTCAGTCCATATTAGTTCAAGATCATCTGATTCTAAATCATTTCTACGCTTTATGCTAACGTTATTTTTGGTATATATAAGTATTCCGCCACCATTATTATCAGTCCTATCCTTTCTGAAAATATTGCCAAAGTTTTCAAGAGATATGTTGCTTGCAGAAATGGAATTATTAAGATGAGTTTCAGTTACACATAGGATATCGTATTCAGAAAATTCAGCATCAAGAATGTGGGTCTTGTTTCTTAAAGAACATATATTGATATGACAGATAGATAAATTATGAAGATTGATATTGTCTTGTGGATAGGGTCCAGGGTTCGGATGAATATCGCCACAGGCTAGTAATATGTAGAGAGGTAGTAAATGAAAGTGCAAAATGGTGGAAGGCGAGCTCATTGAACCATCAGAGACACCAATACAAAATAGTTTACCATTCACAACTCCCTCCATACCAGGATGAATCACTAATTTAGCCATTGTCAAAAAGGATATACATGGAATGTGATGGATAATGGTAAGGAGAGTGATGTGAATGGACAAGGGAATTCATGATAAAGTACAATTGGAAAAGAAATGGATTAAAATATCGTAAGCAATGATTACATGTGTAACTGTTATTATTATGAAAACCGGCATGTTGTGCCAATAAATACATTTTAAACAAGTGTAACAAAACGGCATATATACATATAAAGACAATGAGCATTGCTTTATCATTCAATGATGTATGTTTGGCATAAGACATCATAGATTTTTTCAAGTCAATAGATATATCGACATAAGAATCCGTCCCAGTGATATTGAAAGCAAACTAACAAGTGAGAAGTTTATATAGACATCTAAGAGACCGATAGCACAAGCTCTATTTTTAGATACTAAATGCAGAAAATGAGATAATGAACACAATTATGGACTGACATGCACATTGATTCACTTCTACAAATGTTCACTCGAGGTAATTGAAACCGTAGAAAAGAACTCTGCGAAAAAAAAAAAGAAAACAAAATGCAAAAAACAAATAAAATCAAAACTTTTATCTTTTTTTTTTATCGTTATCGTATTTACTACTTGACCGTCGTCGACCATATATCTATGAAAAAAACATAGTATCACTATTTACAGTTGAAGTATATTTTCAGCTCATGATATAATGTACAGTATATAGCAGGGGTTGTTTAAGTCACATTTTGATCTATTACTTTCAAAATGGTAAGAACAAATAAGTCTCACAAAGACAACAACACATAAGATTATACATGGGTAGAAGATGGCAATAGCTACATGATGTTACTGATTTCATTAAGTATTTTGTGTAAAATCTTCTTTGCACTTATATTCATGCGCTATATGAATAGCATAACCATACACATATATAAATTATATATATTTAAAAACAGTAACAATAGAATGTGAGAAGCTCATGTTTGCAACCGTACAAGCATAGACATATAAATAGTACTTTTTAGGTATAAGTCACAAAACAGAGGTTATCTCTGTCTACCAGGGAGAATTAGTAAACGTATATCTAGTTATGATTAAATATTTAATATTTTTAATGACCAGTATAAACAGATAATGTATTATTCCACATGAAAGTAAATTATATTACAGGGTGAGTAAGCCAAGGTCACAGCTGATGCACGGGCAAAAATGACACGTGCACTGGCACCACTACTGTGACCTCACCTGTAAAGGTGTACAAGATATACAAAACATCCCGCTGGATAGCGACACTCTATGGGACGGTATACTTCTGTAGTTTGACATCGAGTGTTTGAAAGTATAACCATAAATATGTTTGAGAAACGCCCCTACCAAATGAATAAATTATATTCAAAACAAGCGATATCAGATGACGAGTTCAGCGTAAATAAGGTAACTTCCCAGCAGATTTTGGAATTAGGTAATAAAAACTTACAAAATGAGTTCGATATCACAGATACATTATCATATATTTTTAGGCTAGCGGTATATTGATCATATTTGTACATTATATAGCAAAGCTTGCATTTGCAATGTTCTGTAAGTTAATTGGATTGCATATATATTGTTCAAATTAACAAAATAAGTATAATGGCATGTACAATTCACATCAATTGTACCTCACGGCAGATCTGAGTTTACTTAGCGAGTATGGGAAATGCTTTAAGATTTCATATTCATTTACTTTTTATGCATGATACTTCTGTGAATGATATAGCCAGCACTTTGCTACAGCGCTATTTTACAAATTAAACAATAAGGCTTTTTGACATTTACACTAGCATGGACAAGAATGATCGATCGATAATAGACAACGACAGAAAGGAAAATGAAACATCTTAACAACAGTTAAACAAATCTGATTTCTTGATCAGCAAACACATTATTTACATGAACTTATTACTTATCAAACCTTGACGCCACTAAATGTCAGTCCCTTTCGGTTAATTTGAGGAAGGGATGTGCCTTCAAATACACTAATTTGGTCTTCCTCCGCTGACCTTCAGGAAGGCTCCTCCTCTTACCAAGTAGCTCATAGCGGAGTTGTGCTAGGGAAGGGGGTAAGTCTGGGACTACAGCAAAGCCAGATCCAGGTTTAATTTTAAAACCGAGGTTCAGTACTTGATCACGGTCCTGAAGACTTACAAAACGAACTATAATGTTCCTCTTTTCCTGGGGACCATTAGGGAGCCTATGAATTGCCTGAAACAGCATGGTGTCTGCGATATGAGCAGGCACCCCGAGAGTATTCTTGAGAAAGCCACGAACTGCTAACTGGGTGTCACGAGAAGGTTCCTTAACATTGCCAGGAATACCACGCACAACCAAATTCCACTTTCTGCCCCATAATTCTAAAGCAATTCTCTCATTTTTTTCACTTTCAAGCCTGGCTTCTAAATTTGGGATAGTTTCCTCATGTAAGATTTTCATTTCCCCCATCACATATTCTAATGAAGCTTCATGTGTATCAACAGTTTTTCAATCTTCTCAACCACAGTTGTAATTGAACATACATTTTCCTTCAATGATGCTATTTCACCAGAAATTTTCGAATCCAGTTTATCAAAGCATTTACTGATGTCGGAAAAGTCTTTACACCGACACTTGTCTAGATTGACTCATGATTACTACGTACCGGCTCCCAGAGTGTGATATTTATGCTTGGCTGAACAGTCCGTCAACACTCTCTATAGATTTGGAAAATTGTACCAAAAACACACTTTTTGAAATAAAAGAATACTGTTTGACTTCTCCAATAGTCCGATTGAACAAAACGATGTTCAACAGTTTACAGCGTTGGGAAATTGTGATGGGGGAATAGTGTAGATTGACTTACTTTTTTACGAGCCGAGGTACAATGTCCGTGCTAGTCCATACCGGAAGTAATTATAAAAATTTCAGATTGTTTAACTTACTAGGCCTCTCGTTAGAAAACGTATTAATTATCAGACGATTGTACCAAAGACACGCAAATCACTGGTACTTTTCAAAACAAATTTAGAATTAGATATAAATTTAAATAATGACATAATCTACATCATATAGCTGTTTCGTCCGAGGATTCGCCATTGATAAACTACATTATATAGCTGTTTCGTCCTAGGAATCGTCATTGATAAACTACATCATATAGCTGTTTCGTCCTAGGATTCGCCATTGATGAACTACATAATATATCTGTTTCGTCCTAGGAATCGCCATTGATAAACTACATCATATAGCTGTTTCGTCCTAGGATTTGCCATTGATATACTATATCATATAGGTGTTTCGTCCTAGGATGATAAAACTGCATTATACATTATATAGCTGTTTCGTCCTAGGAATCGCCATTGATAAACTACATCATATAGCTGTTTCCTCCTAGGAATCGCCATTGATAAACTACATCATATAGCTGTTTCGTCCTAGGAATCGCCATTGATAAACTACATCATATAGCTGTTTCGTCCTAGGAATCGTCATTGATAAACTACATTATATATCTGTTTCGTCCTAGGAATCGTCATTGATAAACTACATTATATATCTGTTTCGTCCTAGGAATCGTCATTGATAAACTACATCATATAGCTGTTTCGTCCTAGGATTTGCCATTGATATACTATATCATATAGGTGTTTCGTCCTAGGATGATAAAACTGCATTATACATTATATAGCTGTTTCGTCCTAGGGTGATAAAACTACATCATACATTATATAGCTGTTTCGTCTTAAGGTGAAAAACTACATCATACATTATATAGCTGTTTTGTCCTAAGGTGATTAAACTACATTATACATAATATAGCAGGTTTTAGCTACATAATTGAGATGATTGAGGAAAATCTATAGGAGTCAAAGTAGATATCAAAAAGCAGCTGAGGCGGTCACCAGCAGCAAAATTCAGTGGACTGTTGTATTTTCAATAATGAATAATAAAAAAAATGTCAAGTACATCTGTATATTCTGAACCGTGCCACCAGTCGAATGATCTAAAAAGTGTCATGCACAGAAGTGTCTGTCACCTTAACTCTTGAAGATTGTCATTAATTTATTAACTATCTTAATTGACGAGTAAAATATCTACTGAAGTACATGTGTATAAAGTCCCTCGGGTACTATACAATTGGGTCTACCGGAAAAATTGCCATCGTCTACAGGATGACTGTCCCTGGTTCCAGACTGCTATACACGCTTTCTGGCTACAGTTGGACACACCTCATGGCAAGAATCAAAACCAATCGGCCTGTTGTTTCATAAAATATTCTAATTCACATTTAATTTTTGATTTATTGCGATAAAACGTGTTTCAGTGACAATAGGATTCATAGACACGTATCTAGACACGAAATACATTCCGTGTCATAAACATACATCGTCACTAGAATTTGTGTTTTCCCTGGCCCAAGACGATGACTACAAACGAAGGTATTCTTGTATTGTCACTAGAATTTGTGTTTTCCCCGGCCCAAGACGATGACTACAAACGAAGGTATTCTTGTATTGTCACTAGAAATCTGTGTTTTCCCCGGCCCAAGACTATGACTACAAACGAAGGTATTCTTGTATTGTCACTAGAAATTTGTGTTTTCCCCGGCCCAAGACTATGACTCTGAACGAAGCCCCCCCCCCTCCCCTCCACCGCTCCCCATCCCCCCCCCCCCCCGTTGCACACACACACACTCTCTCTCTCTCTCTCTCTCTCTCTCTCTCTCTCTCTCTCTCTCTCTCTCTCTCTCTCTCTCTCTCTCTCTCTCTCTCTCTCTCTCTCTCTCTCTCTCTCTCTCTCTCTCTCTCTCTCTCTCTCTCTCTCTCTCTCTCTCTCTCTCTCTCTCTCTCTCTCTCTCTCTCTCTCTCTCTCTCTCTCTCTCTCCACACTTCATTTGAAGTTAACGTTATGTTGTAAACAATTTCACACCCATGTTTTACCATTTCTGTTTGTAGGACATGTTGACCTCGATGACGTTTGGCGAGGACTTGGTATCTTTGGAAAGTACCAGAGGACTCAGGCTGCCCTGCTACTACTGACACTACTACCGGAAGCGATACAACTCGTGGTTGTTGTATTTATTGGTAAAAGTTTTCAAATTACCAGCAACATTTGATGTATATGTAAATGTTTGTGAATAATGGCAACATTTGTTGTATGAGTAAATTTCTGTGGATAAATTTGTGCAAGTTCACATTAAAACAATAAAGAAAATTCTGACATATCAACAGAACCTTCAAATTCAAAATCGATGAAACTAGAGCAGATAAAAAGACATAATAGCATGACGACCTTTACAAATAAGTTTGCTGTGTGCAGTACGTCATCACCCTATTGCACCGTAAGAGGTGTTCATAGTGATAAGTTTTCACCACGTGACCGTGACGTGACCTTTGACCTACATTTGAAAGTAAAAACAACAATAATACCACAAAGAAATTTATCAAATCTATCTATTGTAAAATTAATTAGAATTTGTGCCAAATATATCTATTAGCATTTTATTATTATTTTCATAGGATTTCGTCCACCTTTCCACTGTGCCAATGTCTCCCCCGAACAGGCTGCTTTGTATACCGACAGGTACAGTAACACGTCTGTACAATTGTCTTACCATGAGTGTCAGATCGATTTGGTAAAAAATGGCACAAACACGACGCTTCTCACACTCTCACCGTGTCCGGCCGGATACACATACGGGTTAGAGAAGGACCGGACATTCGTGACAGAGGTATGCTATTCCAGACATCAACAGACTATGCTATTCCAGACATTCACAGACTATGCTATTCCAGACATTCACAGACTATGCTATTCCAGACATTCACTCATTTTGTTATTCCAGACATTCACAGACTATGCTATTCCAGACATCAACAGACTATGTTATTCCAGACTTTCACAGGCTATGTTATTCCAGACATTCACTCACTATGCTATTCAATACATTCATAGACTATGTTATTCCAGACATTCACAGACTGTTATTCCAGACATTCACAGACTATATTATTCCAGACATTCACAGACTATGTTATTCCAGACATTCACAGACTATGTTATTCCAGACATTCACAGACTGTTATTCCAGACATTCACTCACTATGTTATTCCAGACTTTCACAGGCTATGTTATTCCAGACATTCACTCACTATGCTATTCAATACATTCATAGACTATGTTATTCCAGACATTCACAGACTATACTATTCCAGACATTCACTCATTTTGTTATTCCAGACATTCACAGACTGTTATTCCAGACATTCACAGACTATGCTATTCCAGACATTCACAGACTATGTTATTCCAGACATTCACAGACTATGTTATTCCAGACTTTCACAGGCTATGTTATTCCAGACATTCACAGACTATGCTATTCCAGACATTCACAGACTATGCTATTCCAGACATTCCCAGACTGTTATTCCAGACATTCACAGACTATGTTATTCCAGACATTCACAGACTATGTTATTCCAGACATTCACAGACTATGCTATTCCAGACATTCCCAGACTGTTATTCCAGACATTCACAGACTATGCTATTCCAGACATTCACAGACTATGTTATTCCAGACATTCACAGACTATGTTATTCCAGACATTCACAGACTATGTTATTCCAGACATTCACAGATTATGTTATTCCAGACATTCACAGACTATGTTATTCCAGACATTCACAGACTATGTTATTCCAGACATTCACAGATTATGTTATTCCAGACATTCACAGACTATGTTATTCCAGACATTCACAGACTGTTATTCCAGACATTCACAGACTATGCTATTCCAGACATTCACTCATTTTGATATTCCAGACATTCACAGACTGTTATTCCAGACATTCACAGACTATGCTATTCCAGACATTCACAGACTATGTTATTCCAGACATTCACAGACTATGTTATTCCAGACTTTCACAGGCTATGTTATTCCAGACATTCACAGACTATGCTATTCCAGACATTCCCAGACTGTTATTCCAGACATTCACAGACTATGTTATTCCAGACATTCACAGACTATGTTATTCCAGACATTCACAGACTATGCTATTCCAGACATTCACAGACTGTTATTCCAGACATTCACAGACTATGCTATTCCAGACATTCACAGACTATGTTATTCCAGACATTCACAGACTATGTTATTCCAGACATTCACAGACTATGTTATTCCAGACATTCACAGACTATGTTATTCCAGACATTCACTCACTATGTTATTCCAGACATTCACAGACTATGTTATTCCAGACATTCACAGATTATGTTATTCCAGACATTCACAGACTATGTTATTCCAGACATTCACAGACTGTTATTCCAGACATTCACAGACTATGCTATTCCAGACATTCACTCATTTTGATATTCCAGACATTCACAGACTGTTATTCCAGACATTCACAGACTATGCTATTCCAGACATTCACAGACTATGTTATTCCAGACATTCACAGACTATGTTATTCCAGACTTTCACAGGCTATGTTATTCCAGACATTCACAGACTATGCTATTCCAGACATTCACAGACTGTTATTCCAGACATTCACAGACTATGTTATTCCAGACATTCACAGACTATGTTATTCCAGACATTCACAGACTATGCTATTCCAGACATTCACAGACTATGTTATTCCAGACATTCACTCACTATGCTATTCCAGACATTCACAGACTATGCTATTCCAGACATTCACAGACTATGTTATTCCAGACATTCACAGACTATGTTATTCCAGACTTTCACAGACTATGTTATTCCAGACATTCACAGACTATGCTATTCCAGACATTCACAGACTATGCTATTCCAGACATTCACAGACTATGCTATTCCAGACATTCACTCATTTTGTTATTCCAGACATTCACAGACTGTTATTCCAGACATTCACAGACTATGTTATTCCAGACATTCACAGACTATGCTATTCCAGACATTCACAGACTGTGTTATTCCAGACATTCACAGACTATGCTATTCCAGACATTCACAGACTGTGTTATTCCAGACTTTCACAGGCTATGTTATTCCAGACATTCACAGACTATGTTATTCCAGACATTCACAGACTATGTTATTCCAGACATTCACAGACTATGCTATTCCAGACATTCACAGACTGTTATTCCAGACATTCACAGACTATGCTATTCCAGACATTCACAGACTATGTTATTCCAGACATTCACAGACTATGTTATTCCAAACATTCACATACTATGTTATTCCAGACATTCACTCACTATGTTATTCCAGACATTCACAGACTATGTTATTCCAGACGTTCACTCACTATGTTATTCCAGACATTCACAGACTATGTTATTCCAGACATTCACAGACTATGTTATTCCAGACATTCACAGACTATGTTATTCCAGACATTCACAGACTATGTTATTCTAGACATTCACATACTATGTTATTCAAGACATTCACTCACTATGTTATTCCAGACATTCACAGACTATGTTATTCCAGACATTCACAGACTATGTTATTCCAGACATTCACTCACTATGTTATTCCAGACATTCACAGACTATGCTATTCCAGACATTCACAGACTGTGTTATTCCAGACATTAACAGACTATGTTATTCCAGACATTCACAGACTATGTTATTCTAGACATTCACATACTATGTTATTCCAGACATTCACTCACTATGTTATTCCAGACATTCACAGACTATGTTATTCAAGACATTCACTCACTATGTTATTCCAGACATTCACAGACTATGTTATTCCAGACATTCACTCACTATGCTATTCCAGACATTCACAGACTATGTTATTCCACACATTCACTCACTATGTTATTCCAGACATTCACAGACTATGCTATTCCAGACATTCACTCACTATGTTATTCCAGACATTCACTCACTATGTTATTCCAGACATTCACAGACTATGCTATTCCAGACATTCAGAGACTATGTCATTCCAGACATTCACAGACTATGCTATTCCAGACATTCACTCACTATGCTATTCCAGACATTCACAGACTATTTTATTCAATACATTCACAGACTATGTTATTCCAGACATTCACAGACTATGTTATTCCAGACATTCACAGACTATGTTATTCCAGACATTCACAGACTGTTATTCCAGACATTCACAGACTATGTTATTCCAGACATTCACAGACTATGTTATTCCAGACTTTATTCCCGTGATAAATAAGCTTTATATTATTCCATGATATTTTTTGCGATTTTATTCGACTCTCGACAACAATCTTTCACTTTATTAAAAAATTAATGAAAAATAAATTTAAACCTGACTGCTATACTTGGCAGTATGACTTGGTGTGTGACGGGGCGGAGAGAGCTGAACTCTCCCAGACCTTACTGATAGTTGGGCAGATGATAGGTGCGTGCGTCCTCCCTCAGTGTGCCGACAAGTTCGGAAGGAAGAAAATCCTTGTCCTGTCCAATATCGGCTTACTGGTCGCAGGACTCGGAGGCTGTTTCCTTCCAACTTTCACTGGGTTTGCGATAATGAGATTTCTCATAGGAATTTTCCAACAAGTGAGTTGTATTTATTAAACTTTTAATTCTTATAAATACGTATTATAATCCTGGTGTTACCGATTGTTGATTTCCACTTCCTGTCTCGCCCTAAATCTTTAATGGAAAAAATATGAATCAATTATAGAACAAAGAAGCTTAAACATCCTTGTTTAAAGTATATGGCTTAAAACATGGCAACCATGGTGACAGAAACTAATTAGTATTTGTAATCAACCTATCAGAAACTTCACTTTAAATTCTTTTGAAATATTGATGTTTTGTGAGATGTGAATACTGATTGTTATTTTATCTATGTAGAACTTTTTCTCCCAATTTTGTTGTTCCCAAGCTACCCATACATATAAAAGTTCCGTTGGGGTGTTTTAATAGGGTTTGGCGATGGTCATGCCTGCAATGTTTCTGGAAATGTGCCCGGCAGAAGTAAGGTACTTGGTGGAAGTTTGCTCGTTGTGTGCGTGGACAACCTCCATGGTGATCGTGGCGCCTGTAGCCTATTTCCTGCAGGACCTCTCCTGGCGGTATCTGTACTTGATTCTCACGCTCACATCCGCATACAGTATCTTCGGATACTGGTGAGTACTATCATACACACAAATGACACCCTTTATTTCTACAAAAGGCCTGTGGTTTGATACAAATGTTTCATAAGAGTTGAAAATGTTATACTTAAAAACGTTGATAATTGACTTTGAAATAGCCACACAAAAAAGAGAGCGATGAATTGTACATTGATAATAAAATCATTTGTTGCAAAATGGATAGTATCTGTTGTTTCCTCGACGAAAATATCTTATCGTACTTTTAAAATCTGAAAATGAGTTTAACTTAATGAAATGGTCCTTTTTATAGGATTTATCACGAATCAGTCCGATGGCTTCTTGCTAATGGCAGAATTAACGAAGCAAAGGCAATTTTACAAAAGGCTGCAAGGATGAACAAGGTAGATGAAGCACCTATCTTACGTATAGTTGATCAGGTTATAGCCAGGGAGTTAAAGGTTAATGACACTGACGACGACGATATCGACAACGACATTAGCATGAAAGCCTTGTCATCGAGAGAGAATGACGCCAAAACTACCGACAGCAAGTCACCAAACTACACCATTTTAACACTGTTCAGGAAGCGCCGGATAGCAAGCATAACTACCATTATGATTATTGTATGGTAGGTTTATGTGTTTCGTGTAAATTCACCAGACGTTTTGTTTATGCCTGATACAGATACGGAACTCTAATGTAATATAACTTTTTTTCAATAACGAAACCGAGTGTAATGCCATTGTAGACTTGTACTAAAGTTGACGAGAGGTATTGACCAACATCCTGACTGATTCCAATGTGTCTCTTTCGGCAATAAGGTCATCACGATTGACTAAGTCTTCCAAAATGTTTATTATGTCATTACTTTCAAATTTAGTGTATAGTATCATTATTTATTTTTAACGCGGAGCTACCTGTCGAAATTTCACATCATGACGGTATTTATGAATACGGCAACAAGGGGGGATCACTCTTACGGAGATAGAATATCTTTCCACGTTTTAATTCAAAGTACAACATTTCAAATCTGTGATCCATAGCTGTAACAATGAACCATTTGACTTGATAACAATGGGTCGTTTTTAACATTAAATTTGATCGGTTAGTATCACGTTAATTAAATATATATGAAAAAAAGTCAACCTACCTCTTAAAAAAACACTTTTGTTTAATTTTCAAAATTACGTCAGTTTTTTGTGCAAATCATTTGATCAAATCAAATTAGAGACACAAGAAAATTACAAACAATAACAGAAATCTTACAGAAAAGTCTTTTTATCCATAATTCTTTTTTTTAATTTCAGTACAAAGGCATCGCAAGGGGAGATAATCCCATTACTGGGGGACAATTTTTTTTAATACGGAAAATACATCCAACTCAAACTTCAAATAAATAACCATTTTTGTATAAAAAAAAAAAACATGTACCATAATATCTTTAAAATGTGAAACAATTGAAGTGGATGTGTTTTGAATTCCTTTCGTTTCCCACAGGACAGTCGATAGCTTGACGTATTACGGATTAATCCTTTCCTCAGCATCTTTGCCTGTGGATCGCTTCCTGAGTTTCTTTCTGCTGACAATCGCGGAATATCCTGTAGTGTTTTTCGAATACACGTTGATGAATCGGTATGGTCAAACATTCATCACAAGATATACATTTCCTGAACATTAATTCTTAAAGAAAAAATCAATATGGATGTATTGATGAATACGTATTAAAATGTAGTAATTTATGTGCTAACAACTCTTGGAATGATGTGTTTAAATCTTGGTACGAATTGAATAATTCAAGAATTCAAGACATTAGGGAACCTGAGGAAAGATCACTGTTAACCCAAAATATCTTGTATAATAAAATATTACTATTGCAGGTAAATCAGTCTTCTATCAATCATGGTATAAATCAGGAAAACACACTCATTCTGATCAAGATTACAGATAACGTTTCCTTATATATATTCGAAGAGCTTTCAGAAAAAAAACCGACTTCACACAAATTGTCTTCAAGTTCATAGATTAATATCTGCTAGTCGCAAATATCTGCCAGATCCTTTATCAATATATTTGAAACCAGTTATTCGCCCTTTCTTAACTCCAAATATATAGACCTTTCTGCAAAATGCTTGTGGATTCAAATTTTTCCACAACATTCTTAATCAAAATAATATCATAGCTGCTGGTTAAAATGGTAGGAATAGTTCTTGTTTGGTGAAAGAGAATGAAATAAAATTGATACAATTCCTTATAAATTCACAAGAAATAGTAAACTTTAATGGCTTCTGAATATCACACCACATTCTTACCACAAAATCTAAACTATCTAAAGAAGATGCAGTTGCTAGTCCACTGTGTTCCTTTTGTAATTCAGAAAGGGAAACTATAAATTACTTAATGTGGGAATACCAGGAAGTACAAAATCTTCTACAATGTTTAGAAACACCCCTACATGCTCTTTATATACCGTTTTCAATCAACAAACAATCCTTCCTATTCAGGTTTATAAATAATAGATGTCGTCATTTTACTGCTGATGATATAACCGTTTTTATCATTAAACAATATATCTACATGTCTTAATAAGTCTTTAAAAAATCAATGTTTTAGTCAACAACGTGAAAGATTACTATACAGAAGTATTTAACAAATAGTAAAAAAAGACTTTTTGAAAGAAAAATTTAGAAATACATGGAGTAAACGGGAAAACCTATTTAACATGATATCTAAATATTTTCACCTAATTGTCCTTAACATTCCTCAAGTAAAGCAGCCAGCAAAACCACCCCACATCTCACATCTCCAATCCTCTTCTCATCTCCCCTTTCCTCTAGGTTAGCAATGTCTAATATTGCTCTACCCTTTTTTTACTTTCATTTCTCTACATAATAGATTCTGTGATATGTAAGTATGTAAATGAAGTATGATGTAAGATAATTTGATATATTCAATGTGTTTATTGTATATAACTATGTAAGAGTATTTATGTATATATATGTAAATCGTTACATGGTTGATACTGGGAATTGATTTTTTTGTGTTATAATGTAAATACAAAACAAAAAATAAAAAAAATAAATCATCATCATATTTGATTTGATAATACCATCACTGTCAGACTGTTACCCTGATTTGATAGTACTGTCATTGTCAGACTGTTACCCTGATTTGATAGTACTGTCACTGTCAGACTGTTACCCTGATTTGATAGTACTGTCACTGTCAGACTGTTACCCTGATTTGATAGTACTGTCATTGTCAGTCTGAAACCCTGATTTGATAGTACCGTCATTGTCAGACTGTTACCATGATTTGATAGTACTGTCACTGTCAGACTGTTACCCTGATTTGATAGTTCTGTCACTGTCAGACTGTTACCCTGGTTTGATAGTACTGTCACTGTCAGACTGTAACCCTGATTTGATGGTAGTCACTGTCAGACTGTAACCCTGATTTGATAGTACTGTCACTGTCAGACTGTTACCCTGATTTGATAGTTCTGTCACTATCAGACTGTAACCCTGATTTGATAGTACTGTCACTGTCAGACTGTAACCCTGATTTGATAGTACTGTCATTGTCAGACTGTAACCCTTATTTGATAGTACTGTCACTGTCAGACTATTACCCTGATTTGATAGTACTGTCACTGTCAGACTGTAAAACATTAAAGTAAATGTTTGTAAGGTGGTTGACTATCAAACTTGGTAACTTAATATTTTTCTTTTATTCTGAACTTACTCATTCATGTAAAGTTTTAAATCCCGTCTCACTCGGATCCCTCAACCTCCCTTTATTCCGGTTAATATACATCAGCTAAGTCACGTGATTTTCCCCTATTGTGCCATCTTGTATTTTACTTATTGTTATAATCTTTTTGCAGAATTGGACGAAAACGATTTTGTATCATATTCCACGCCATAGCCGCTATTTCATTGCTAGCAGGGACAGTAGCGAACTATTTCTCAGGTACGAACAGATCTATAAACAATTTTATGGAAATAAGATTATTTTGATAGATGTTCATTTAACCATTTAGTATCATGATAAAAATATTGTGTATTTGTATAAAACAATGTAAATACTTCCCGTATGTTACCTGTAATTACATCCAGTCTGTTACCTGTAATTACATCTCGTCTGCTACCTGTAATTATAGCCAGTCTGTTACCTGTAATTACATCCAGTCTGTTACCTGTAATTACATTCAGTCTGTTACATGTAATTACATCCAGTCTGTTACCTGTAATTACAGTAAGTCTGTTACCTGTTATTACATCCAGTCTGTTACCTGTAATTATAGCCAGTCTGTTACCTGTAATTACATCCAGTCTGTTACCTGTAATTATAGCCAGTCTGTTACCTGTTATTACATCCAGTCTGTTACATGTAATTACATCCAGTCTGTTACATGTAATTACATCCAGCCTGTTAGCTGCTATTACATCCAGTCTGTTACCTGTTATTACATCCAGTCTGTTACATGTAATTACATCCAGTCTGTTACCTGTAATTACATTCAATATGTTACATGTAATTACATCCAGTCTGTTACATGTAATTACATCCAGTCTGTTACCTGCAATTACAGTAAATCTGTTTCATGTCATTATAGCCAGTCTGTTACCTGTAATAATACTTTTGAGAAATCTATTGATGTTAGATTAATTAATCAACTTATATACATGTATAAAACTTGATAAATGAATATATAGACAGCTCATCTGTTCTGTTCTGGGAATTTTTTTTCCAGATTCACCAGGGGCTAATATACCTATCATGGTGTTCTTTTTCCTTGGCAAACTTGGAATTACAGGATCGTTCAGTTGTTTGTTTCTCTATACACCTGAGATATTCCCGACCAACCTCAGGTAAAACATTCTACATTTGAACCTATTCATGATTTTGAAGGCGTTAGAACATGTAAATTTTCCGTTATTCAAGCTTTACACTATATGTCTCTTTATATTTCCATCAGTACCACATGCCTTGTAGATACTTTTTTACCAATAAAACAGTTTGATAGATTAGATAACATACTGTACTCTAACATAATTGATGGCCGTGTGGATTCAATCCACGAAGGAGGAGTCCATAAAATGATGAGTAATTGACGATCGTTTTAGGTAATAACAATTGTTATAGAGGACCACCTTCATTGCTTTCTTCAAATAAATGGAATCCTTTGAAAAGGTCAGCAAAAAACAATATAATACAGAGAGAAATCAATATATAACAGTCAGAAATCAATATATAACAGTCAGAAATCAATATATAATAGTCAGAAATCAATGTATAACAGTCAGAAATCAATATATAACTGTCAGAAATCAATGTATAACAGTCAGAAATCAATATCTAACAGTCAGAAATCAATATATAACAGTCAGAAATCAATATCTAACAGTCAGAAATCAATATCTAACAGTCAGAAATCAATATATAACTGTCAGAAATCAATATATAACAGTCAGAAATCAATATCTAACAGTCAGAAATCAATATATAACTGTCAGAAATCAATATATAACAGCCAGAAATCAATATATAACAGTCAGAAATCAATATATATAACAGCTAGGAATCATAAAATACAGTCAGGAATATATGAAATACAGCCATGAATCAATATAAAACAGTCAGGAATCAATATTATATGGCGTGTTGTTCGTTTTGTTCTGGTTTTTAAATGCTTTTCGGTTTTGGTGAATATCTTTTCCAGAAATCTGGACCATAACTGTAAAATGTAAAAATAAAAAAAAACAAATCATAAATGTTTTGGTCTGATCAATGCCAATTAGAAACATCAGTTTTTGTCTACAGGACGGTTGGTATGGGGTTGCCCTCCGCGGCAGGACGAATAGGCGGTATGCTGGCGCCGTTTGCAGGTCCCCTGGTAAATCCATATCGTATTTTATACACAGTAATCATACAATACAAGCATTAAAATACATTGTTAGGGAATTTATGGTCGATATAAATTAAAGATCTTAGTACATGTTTGTCATCTATCATGCATGCTGCTGTTTTATTTATAATTGTACAAAAGACACGCAAGTGAATAGCATATTTTAATACAAATATAGAGTTAGAGACGGCATCATACAGCTGTTTCGTCCTTCTATGTCTATTTTATGATGCTGTATCACACAGCTCTTTCGTCCTTCTAGGACTCCTTAGTGGTGCTGTATCACACAGCTCTTTCGTCCTTCTATGTCTATTTAATATTGCTGTACCACACAGCTCTTTCGTCCTTCTAGGACTCCTTAGTGGTGCTGTATCATACAGCTCTTTCGTCCTTCTATGTCTGTTTAATATTGCTGTACCACACAGCTCTTTCGTCCTTCTAGGACTCCTTAGTGATGCTGTATCACACAGCTCTTTCGTCCTTCTATGTCTATTTAACATTGCTGTACCACACAGCTCTTTCGTCCTTCTAGGACTCCTTAGTGGTGCTGTATCACACAGCTCTTTCGTCCTTCTATGTCTATTTAGTGATGCTGTATCACACAGCTGTTTCGTCCTTCTAGGACTCCTTAGTGATGCTGTATCACACAGCTGTTTCGTCCTTCTATGTCTATTTTATGATGCTGTATCACACAGCTGTTTCGTCCTTCTAAGACTCCTTAGTGGTGCTGTATAACACAGCTCTTTCGTCCTTCTATGTCTATTTAATGATGCTGTATCATACAGCTGTTTCATCCTTCTAAAACTCCTTAGTAATGCTGCATCATACAGCATACAGCTGTTTCGTCCTTCTAGGACTCCTTAGTGTTGCTGCATCATACAGGTGTTTCGTCCTTCTAGGACTCCTTGTTGATGCTGCATTATACAACTGTTTCGTCCTTCTAGGACTCCTTAGTGATGCTGTATCACACAGCTCTTTCGTCCTTCTATGTCTATTTAACATTGCTGTACCACACAGCTCTTTCGTCCTTCTAGGACTCCTTAGTGGTGCTGTATCACACAGCTCTTTCGTCCTTCTATGTCTGTTTAATATTGCTGTACCACACAGCTCTTTCGTCCTTCTAGGACTCCTTAGTGATGCTGTATCACACAGCTCTTTCGTCCTTCTATGTCTATTTAACATTGCTGTACCACACAGCTCTTTCGTCCTTCTAGGACTCCTTAGTGGTGCTGTATCACACAGCTCTTTCGTCCTTCTATGTCTATTTAGTGATGCTGTATCACACAGCTGTTTCATCCTTCTAGGAATCCTTAGTGGTGCTGTATCATACAGCTGTTTCGTCCTTCTATGTCTATTTAATGATGCTGTATCACAGCTGTTTCGTCCTTCTAGGACTCCTTAATGATGCTGCATCATACAGCTGTTTCGTCCCTCTAGGACTCCTTAGTGATGCTGCATCATACAGCTGTTTCATCCTTCTAAAACTCCTTAGTAATGCTGCATCATACAGCATACAGCTGTTTCGTCCTTCTAGGACTCCTTAGTGTTGCTGCATCATACAGGTGTTTCGTCCTTCTAGGACTCCTTGTTGATGCTGCATTATACAACTGTTTCGTCATTCTAGGTATCCTTAGTGATGCTGCATCATACAGCTGTTTCGTCCTTCTTGGACTCCTTAGTGATGCTGCATCATACAGGTGTTTCGTCCTTCTAGGACTCCTTAGTGATGCTGTATCACACAGCTGTTTCGTCCTTCTAGGACTCCTTAGTGATTCTGTATCACACAGCTGTTTCGTCCTTGGTGTGTTTTACCTTGTGTCTTAGTAAAGATGTGGAGAAAGTATGGCAGATTATGAAAATGGTATGGTTGTTAACATATTGAAAGAAATTTCCACAATAAATAATCTTTATTATTTTCAATACCAAATGGTTGGTTTTGCTGAACCGTAACTATAAGTTTGGACAATCACCAACAGCAATGCCCACAAAATGAAGTGTCATAATGGTCACACTGAAGCTGTCATTATACACTTACTTTTGATTTGAAACTTGATTTGTACAACGTCACAACCACCAGATTTAAAGATAGGCAATCATTATTATCCGAAACCCTTTTTGTATTTCATAATTAATCATTATTTACATTCCAATAGGATACGTTATCATAAATGACACGAAAACAATCAACTGATTTTTTATCTGATAGAAACTACAATGCGTGTGGTATCTATAAATCGCAGCCATATTGTTTTGTTTGCAGACTGAGCAGGTAAGATGGGCTCCTGGTGCAATATTTGGTTGTCTGTGTTTGATCGTTACCTTAATCCTTCCTCTGCTTCCGGAGACGAGAGGGCACGAGCTCCCTACCCTAGTGGAGGATTTAGAGGATTGGTATAAAGCCCACACCAGAACCAGATTCAGAAAAAGAAGAAATCGCTAGCAGTGTCAGACATCAACTGCTGTGTTCTATCTATAGCCCACTTTATGGTATAACCAGATCGGATATGTGATAGATTTGTAGGAAAGTCAGTCTAATATAACCACTACAATAACTGCTGACAACAAACCCTTTATCATTCACACCATAGTCTGAACCACTACAATAACTGCTGACAACAAACCCTTTATCATTCACACCATAGACTGAACCACTACAATAACTGCTGACAACAAACCCTTTATCATTCACACCATAGTCTGAACCACTACAATAACTGCTGACAACAAACCCTTTATCATTCACACCATAGTCTGAACCACTACAATAACTGCTGACAACAAACCTTTATCATTCACACCATAGACTGAACCACTACAATAACTGCTGACAGCAAACCCTTTATCATTCACACCATAGACTGAACAACTACAATAACTGCTGACAACAAACCCTTTATCATTCACACCATAGTCTGAACCACTACAATAACTGCTGACAACAAACCCTTTATCATTCACACCATAGACTGAACAACTACAATAACTGCTGACAACAAACCCTTTATCATTCACACCATAGACTGAACAACTACAATAACTGCTGACAACAAACCCTTTATCATTCACACCATAGACTGAACCACTACAATAACTGCTGACAACAAACCCTTTATCATTCACACCATAGACTGAACAACTACAATAACTGCTTGCAAACCATAGTTAAGTCTACCAAAGGTTAGTCCGATAAACACAACCATAATCACAAACTCCATGTGTCAGACGTAAGTTTGAAAATGTGCGCGCGATTAAGGTCAGTTTTTGGTGGATAAATCGAAGGTATTCAAAACGTGTCCAGACAGCATTCAGTTGGTCAAAAATGTTTGTGATGAGGAAGAGCTTCAAAGTCCTGCGTTTTGTAACACAAGTAATGTTCTGCCGTTATTTCATTTTCTAAATTGTTCCGACAAAAATGTTTATGAATAAAGCTATCAGATATTCATGTATTTGTTGGTTTATATGTAATAACCAGAAGTGCAATCAACCTCGATTTTAAACAAAACTATTGGCATCCTCCACACTCCAGGGATTACCATCACTTTTGCTCTCTGCACCCCTGGATCATGTTATGACCAAATTGAAGGCTCCGTGTGTGACACCTTGTTGTATGCACACTTTGTGGAACATGTCTTCATTGGGGTAATTATTTTTTTAACATTCAAATGTAGGTTTAAGGTCACGGTCAAGGTCACATGGTCAAAAATACCAGCAGAAATGTCTTGTCACAAGGAACACACATGTCAGATATGAAATCCCTACCTCGTACGTTGCAATATTTATGGTTGAAGTTGAACAGACAATCAGACAGCACAACAACAATATGCCCCCGATCTTTCGATCCCGTGGCATAAAAATCTAGCAGGAGTGAAATCTGTGTAATAGACAGAAACCAGATTATGTTGTAGTCTCTGATAATGAAAGGAAAATGTGGTATTCTGTAGTAAAGAGGGGACAAATAAAGATGACCACGTCCCTATTTACATCGGTCGGGAAACTCGGAAACAGATTTGTTTTTCTTATCAAAAAACCTTGTAAATAAATAACCATGTATAAAGCTTCATCAGATGATAAGATATACACCACGATGAAAATAATATCGGAAATGTCTTTCTCTGTGTTCCTCACTACACTACACACAAGCTCTACTGCTCTCCAGTATGTTACTCTAGACACAGGATTGGTTACGTTGAAACCGTCTCCACCTTAATTCTGTCATAGTTCGAGCTTGTCGGGTTTGTTCTGGTTGGAGTTTGCTGGGTTCTGTCGTGGTTGGAGTGTGGTTGGAGTTTGTCGTGGTTGGAGTTTGTCGTGGTTGGAGTTTGCTGGGTTCTGTCGTGGTTGGAGTTTGTCGTGGTTGGGGTGTGTCGGGTTCTGTCGTGGTTGGAGTTTGCTGGGTTCTGTCGTGGTTGGGGTTTGTAAAGTTCTGTCGTGGTTGAAGTTTTTCGGGTTCTGTCATGGTTGAGGTTTGTCGGATTTGTCGTGGTTGGGGTGTGTTGGGTTCTGTCATGGTTGGAGCTTGTCGGGTTTGTCGTGGTTGGAGTTTGTTGGGTTCTGTCATGGTTGGGGTTTGTTGGGTTCTGTCGTGGTTGGGGTTTGTCGGGTTTGTCGTGGTTGGGGTTTGTTGGGTTCTGTCGTGGTTGGGGTTTGTCGGGTTCTGTCGTGGTTGGGGTTTGTCGGGTTCTGTCGTGGTTGGGGTGTGTTGGGTTCTGTCGTGGTTGGGGTTTGTCGGGTTCTGTCGTGGTTGGGGTTTGTTGGGTTCTGTCGTGGTTGGGGTTTGTTGGGTTCTGTCGTGGTTGGGGTCTGTCGGGTTCTGAGGTGGTTGGTGTGTGTCGGGTTCTGGCGTGGTTGGGGTGTGTCGGGTTCTGTCGTGGTTTGGGGTTTGTCGGGTTCTGTCGTGGTTGGGGTGTGTCGTGTTCTGTTGTGGTTGGAGTTTGTGAGGTTCTGTTGCGGTTGGAATTTGTCGGGTTCTTTCGTGGTAGGAGTTTGTCAGGCTCTGTTGTCCAACCACGACAGAGGCTGGGGTATATCGTTGTGATTCTGTCTGTATGTGCTAAATGATTTTATACTTGAGAATGACGCTAGTGTTTACATTGTGTGTTATCCTGGTATGTTGACACTTCTGTAAAAGACTGTGATAAAGATGTTTACCACTATGCTTTATTCCTGATTAATCTGATTGAAAGAATTGCTTACAAGGGATTTCTCTGCTGCCATTGACTGAGAGCTAAATATGGATTATGTATCAATATCAAACAACATCATCCCGATCAAAAACTGTCACATTTTCGTCTTCGTCAGAAACTTCAGGGCTGTCTCTTATTATCTCCTCCATTTGTAGTCGGTCATACCTGAAATAGAAAGAAAATACCATAAATGTATCACAGTAGAGAGTAGATATATTACATTGTCATATGATATTTTGCTACAGAAACACTAGATAGGTTTCACAGTAGAGAGTAGATATATTACATTGTCATATCATATTTTGCTACAGAAACACTAGATAGGTTTCACAGTAGAGAGTAGATATATAAAATAGTGATATCTTAATTTGCTGTAGATTTCTTACTTTTATGTACATAATTACTTTTGTTGAACGATCAAATGAACGGCCATATCAATACTAAGTAGTTTATTACATGGACTTGTTCAAGTTTATATTTATTCATTTCGACACATTATCTATCATGTGAAATTGAGTTTTTTTAGTCACAAATGCTTCAGAAAATGCCATTTATATTGGCTTTCTAATGCACTTAATTCTTCAGGTCAATTTCACACTTTCCGTGTAATGCGTTGGTATTTCAACAAATAAAATGAAATTCACTTTACACAAGTCTATAAATAGTTAGGGAAGTTATCTATTGATAGTATTAAAATTGGATAGGTGTTTTGTGTGCAGAATGTAAAAACAGTTACTACACTTAGTCTAGATGTGGTGATATACTTTGTATCTAGTGACTCCTAAAATAACCTTAAATCTGATACTACAGCTTTCAAAGACAATGAAAATTTGGAGAAAACTTCAAACACAATAAAAATTAAGAGAAAACTGATAATTTATTTGCAGGACTGGTCCAGTCCACTTATATTACTTTTTCCAATTGTACAAAGGCAACACAAATGTTTACTTCCTTTCAGTAAAAAAACATAATTGTAGTTTTAGCCAAAGACCGACCAAAATCAGACGTCAGTGACGCCAATGTCCTAGATGATTGAAACCTAGGAAGCAACACTGGGGAATCCAAAGTGGTTGAAATAATGTCAACAAGAGACAACATGTGTGTAAATTATCTCACCTGCTTCACAGCTCAACTTCTGCACAATGGAAAGTTTTTTGTCCAGGAAGGCCACATAGATACAACATGATAGGTGATTACTGAAGTTGGAAAATTCCTTCAATATTTGTTTGCTGTCCCCTTGAAAGTAGATCAATTAGGTCACTAATGTGTACATTAATGGTACCACTTCATCCCAGCTTGCTACAGACCCAGTATTAGTCATGTGGGAATGTTGGTCATTAAGAGGCCAATTAAACACATTTGACCTATTATTTTGAAAGTGGGTCAAAGTCATTCATTGGATCAAAGTTGGTAACCCTTCATCCAAGCACAATACTGGCCTGGAAATGCTACAAGTCCTGTGCCTGTTATTTCAAAACTTCAATACATATGACCATGGTGACCCTGAAAGTATCATACTTTAAGCCCCATAATATAGCTCTGAACCTTGTAGTTATTCTTAAGTAATATAAAGATTTTGACATATCAGCCTTCTGCCACCTTGAATATTGGTCAAGGTCATTCATTTGAACAAACGTGACAGCCCTTCATCCTATATCATGATCCTGGTCTTCTGTGTTTTAGAGAGGAAACTGCTTAAAGTAAAAAGTTGCCGCCCTCTGATAAACGCCGCACCACACCATTATGTATCAAGCTCACTAGCACGGTGAGCAGGGGAGCTAAAACATGGTACCCAAAAAATTCAATATTCATAATTTTCAATACTTATGAATTTATTCTGAACCGCACCACTATTCAAATGAATTAGTTTGTGACATGCAGATTATGACAAGCTACAGACACTTGTATCCCCCAGCAATTTCTACTAACTGCATTCTCTCAGAACTCTACAAAAGACCTACCAATGATAGTTGTAGCACCTTCCAGTACAAAGTCAATTTTTTGTTTCCAAGTATGTTAAAACAAAACCAAGTTTTCAAAAATGAGTCCATTGTTGACATGAAAAAAAAAACAAATGAGCTTAACAAAATGTTTATTTAAATCAACAATATAAGATATTACATGTGCTTTGATTCCTGAGTAATATCTCATCTACCAATCTCATTCACTTAAATTTTACAAAATTAATTGATGCAATTTATCAACTGTAGAAATAATCAGATGATAAGAAGTGTTTCTTGGTTATTGGAAAAAAGTTATTTAAAGATTTTCAATGCACTTGAGCTATGACATTGAAAGTGGGTCAAGGTCATTCATTTGAACAAATTAGGCAATCCTTCATTGCAGCAACATGCCAAATATCAGTACCCTGGGAATTTCGACTGTGGAGATGAAGTAATTTTGAAGGAAAAGTTGTTGCCGTATGACAGACATCCCAACATGAAAAAGCTTAATATTTAGACTTCAGGCAGATGAGTTAATTAATAGAATATTTTTTCTCTCACAGAGTGGAAACTTTTTCACTGATGATTACATAGTGTTTCTGGTCAATATGAAAATTCAGTGCGTAATTCATGTCATCTACAATAAAAGAACAACATATGTATCTCCCTCAGTTGATAAAAAACAACATATGTATCTCCCTCAGTTGATAAAAAACAACATATGTATCTCCCTCAGTTGATAAAAAACAACATATGTGCCTACCTCAAGTTGATAGATGATTATGAATCATACTGTATATGAGAGGACTGTAACAAAAACAGATTGTAAAGTCCAGATTCTCAATAATTGTTAAACAATAAGACAAATAGGTATTATCTATCTGAGGGATCAATATTCTCTTATAAGTTCATTATGTATTAAATGTTGAATAAATTCTAAAGATCTAGGTGTGCTGACAATATTCCTAAAATTCTTTAGAATGATTGTCCTCTGTATAAACATAAAGCAGTACAACCAAAATATCGGTCATTTCTCAAGGACTGACGGCATTTTTTTATCATTTGTTTTTAGTTTTTACATCAGCAATTCATTCACACACAAAAAAAATGCTGTGGTTAAATGGAGGGTATAAATACACAATAGAAAACATTAAAAACAAAAGTATGAAGGAAATCTATATTAGTGAATCATAATTACAAAAATTCAATTTTAGGTAAATCCAATATTTAATATCAGGTAGCTGGAGTAATGACTAACAAACTGCTAGGTCAGGTACACTGAACAAGGAATAAATCTGGATACTGAAGCACGATAAAACTTGTACAACATACAAATAATATAAAAAAGCGAAAAATAAGTAAAATCTTGTCCTGTATAAAATGTCAAAAACTGGTTCTCATCTTCTACAAGGCTTAAAGATATGACAAAAACAAAAACTTACCCAGTATAACAACAAATCACTGGCAGTTAAAATCCCTTATAATGCCTTTTGTTGACATTGTAACGAGGGTCTGGTGGGATAAAGTTTGGTAACTTTAATATCAAAACAACAAGCTGTTAACACTAAAATGCCATCTATAATTAGAGCTAGGAGGTATCATATATCTACCTTCATACATGCCTAGTATAACAAGCATCTTACATAACATTCATATGGGATTGAGAACTCTTGCAACAAATGGTACTACAATAAAGTGTTCCCCGTCAAACTGGTAGCAATCCCATCCCTGGTAACAACCCCTGGTAACAAGCCCATCCCTGGTAATAAGCCCATCCCTGTTAACAAGTCTGACAGATGATGGGACTAAACGGTCACCTGAGTGAACTCACAAAGGGAACAAATTGAAATAAATGTGTAGTATAGAGAAAAGAAAATGAGAAAATGCTATTTGTACAGGAACAGAAGAGTTTCACTTTAAAGGGATTAAATGATTAAATTTCGATTATTTTTCCCCGTGTGTTTGGTTTCGGGCAAACATTACAATACTTAAAATTAGACTTTTCACAAAATTATAACACTCACTGAGAGAAATTGATAAAGATTATCAGCTTCAAACTAACACTAGTCGACACTCGCTGTTTTTTCTACCACCTATCGCTGTTTTGATCGGAGATAGCAGAGTTCATCACGTGACTTTTCGGAACCTCATTTCAACCCGCCGTGTAATTATGTAATAAGACAAAAGTTAATTTGCCAGCCATGTTTCAATTCTTACTTTACAATGTTTAACATATGATGATATATAATAATTTTATTAAAATCACTCAAACGGCCCTATTCTATCCCCGATTCTGCCCGTTCCTGTAAATTAATCAAAGTACTGAAAGTACTGAGAGGCTAAACGTTTTGAAAAATGTTCACAAATAACCGCTAAGCTATACTACTTTCCCCATCCTCCTACACTTTGGAATGCAAAAATTACTAAAATAAGAGAACCAGAGGCTATTTTTCTTAATTTTAAGCGATTTTATATCTTCTTTAATTCTTATTTCAAATTTAACGACAATAATGTGAATAAATCAAAATAGGTAAAAAAGAATAACAAAATACACACAACCATTTATTTATCGCCAACAAGCCAAATGACAAATAGCTCTATGATGAAGTTGACTAAATAGAACCTTTGAAATACCCAAGATGTTGCAATTACTATCCTATCAATATGAGGATTTAGACAAATCGGAAGGACTTTATACCTACTTCTTTATTTCAAATATATTGCAAAGTAATAGTCCTTACTTATTATAATTATATTTGTACTTGAGGTAAGTAAATAAGGTGTACACAGCATTTCAGGTAGATTAAAGTGTAAGTAATTACATTAAATGTATTTACATGCCTATCTTCCTTGAAGTATCATGGTTATACTTTTCTTCCAGTAATTATGTCTATAAAGACATAGTTCTTTGAGATTAAACCAGACTTCCATATATATACAAAATTTACAATATTTTCACTATAGCTACTACTATTTCTGATCTCCAACGCATTAGATAATGTCACCATGACACGCTAAATGAATAGATATGTTATGGAAATATTTCGTTCTAGTTAATTGATAATTATAAACATGAATATTTTGGGGGTTTTTTTATACGCGCTTTGTTTGAAGGAATATTTTCATTTCAAGGAACTTTGATACAAATTAACAAACCTTGAGAAATCAGCACAAACAACCTTCATCAAATAAAACTAAAAGACAAAAAATATGTTATAACAGAGTCAACATCATGATCAGTACAGTATTTAAAATATATTATTCATAAATCATGAGCACCAAATGTAACTTGCCTACGAAGCGCAAACTTTTTATCTTCAAAAACTTGAAAAAGTGTCATGGCGGTGGGTGTGAAAAACCTGAAAAAGTGTCATATCGGCGGGTGTGCGCGTTGGACGAACAGTCCAATTCGGTGACGTCTAATGAGGTAAAGTGATGTTATATATTAAGACGATCTTGCCACAACGACAAGGATTAAAACAAAATTGATGTTCTGCTTGTAAGTTTTGTTTGTTTATAAGTGTTGTTAGTTGATAATTCAAACTAAGCCCCCAGACTAGCTTCTTATCAACTCGCACGTACAGTGTTCTGTACACTTACGTCACGTCGAGAATTCCGTAAAATATATTGTTCAAAATTTATCAATAGTTCAACCACACTGTGCTTCTTTTTGAAATATATAGTAATCGTATTGTTATCAAAAAATAAACTAATTTTGGATGCTTTTAAAATAGCGATTTGAAAGATCGCGGCATTATTTACGCAAAAAAAAATGCCGCTAGAGGGCTCTAACTCTTTTCGATATTTCAGCGAATGAAAAGGCCAGGATCGGTAAATTTTGTCTGAAGGCCGTCGCAATAGGCTATGCGTACTAAGTACGTTTAGCCTAAAAAGGAAAAATTTAATCAATACTGACACAGGGCTGTATAATTATCTCCCCTTTGGTATAGATCCCATTCGAGATGTCACCACAAAGCTTTTTGGTGTATATTACATCTTGTGAAATGGATATTCCGATTGTTTTCTTTTCGTGTTAACAAAGCTGTTTTAAATTTAATAACGGTTTAATTCAGTTCAATTCTTTAATACCCTGAGCCTTGCAGCTCATCAGTTCAGAAAGACATCTACAGGTATGAACAAAAATAATACACAACATTTGGAAGAGAAATTTATCTGTTCACTACACATTGATCTCTCACACCATGCAGCCATTCGCTTCCGTTTTCTAACATATCTTGGTAACAGGATTGTAAAATATAGTTGTCAGAATGCTTTATTTTCATCCAACTTTTAGAAATACGAATTTTTATGATATGATGGTATTAACGCAAAAGACATTCATGTACATAACAAAATCAATATCAACATATCACAGTTAGTTTAGACCTATCTATAATAATTAAAGAAACAGTGCAGTTATAAATGGATTCTTGTATCTCACACAAGGATCACTAAATGCTGAAGTTAAGACACTATCTAAGTGTAATTTACATATGTGCTAACATAGCAAAACATTAAAATTGACATAATATACACTAATATAGTGTGTATTAAAAGAAACAAGACAAGCTAGTCTGGCAGACCCTAAAGTTTGAAAGAAAATAAGGATTATATAAAACAAATGACTGGGTATTTTAACAAAATTAACAATTGCACCGTATTTGAACGAGCAAGTGCTGGTGAAGGACTCAAAAGGGGAACAACTCGCACAATAGCATGTGTACAGATATTACAGGAGCAGGCCTCAGCATCCTAGGTGCGAAGCAGCCTCCGAAAAGAGTCGTAATTCTCGGCTAATCTCAGCTGATTCGGTAAGCTGTTCCAAACCTGGGAAGCTGTAAACCGGAAAGATCTTTTTCCAAACTTGGAGGTGTTCACCTTTGGAATCCTTACCAGATTATCCTGCCTAAGATTATATAATACTTCTTTCCTCTCAATAAGGCCTTGTAAAATGGATGGGAATATGCTATTTAAAATCTTAAAAACCTCAGAGGCCATACACTTAATTATTTAATACGTATTCATTCTTCCTTGAAAACTGGCCATAATGTTTAACATATGATGTTTTTAATGCAAAAGAAATTCATTAGACTCATTAAAACGGCACTATTCTACCCCGATTCTGTCGCGATCCTGTAAATCGTCGTCCGATTCTGTCGCGATCCTGTAAATCGTCGCCCGATTCTGCCGCGATCCTGTAAATTGTCGCCCGATTCTTTCGCGATACTGTAAATCGTCGCCCGATTCTGCCGCGTTCCTGTAAATTGTCGTCCGGTTCTGTCGCGATCCTATAAATCGTCGTCCGATTGTGCCGCGATCCTGTAAATCGTCATCCGATTCTGCCGCGATCCTGACCGATCCTACAAATCGTCGCCCGATTCTGTCGCGATCCTGTAAATCGTCGTCCGATTCTGTCGCGATCCTGTAAATCGCCGCCCGATTCTGTCGCGATCCTGTAAATCGTTGCCCGATTCTGTCGCGATCCTGTAAATCGTCGCCCGATTCTGCCACGATCCTGCCCGATCCCGTCAATCGTCTAACCGGTTGTTTACAAGGAAGTGATCACTGCACCGCTTTCTGACAGGTAACGAAAATATGATGTTGAATTTAGTTGATTTTATTCTGGCTCCTTTACAAGCCCGCTTGCACTGGTGACATCCTGGAACGTTCTTTATCAGTTTGTGTCGCTAAACTTGATCATTACCAACTACTCTATATGTAATAATACTGAAACCCTGATGTAAACAACAACAAACAGGCTTGTTTGTCCACCCTCGGTCCATGGTTCATAAATCACATTGACCTTTGGTTGAGATCACAGGCTAGATGCATGGCAGACTTGTAAAAATATATATATATATATGTGTGTGTGTGTGTGTGTGTGTGTATACCTAACATTAAGTCATACATTTATGTTGCTATTGTAAAGACTTGGTAATGTTTACATTGCTGTTACTGTTAAAGGTAGGACTTCATTTTGACCTTTGACAAGGGTGCCTTTATCAACATATAACTTCCTGGTAAATTTGTACATACACAGTTGGATAATTAATTGTGTAAAAATGTTCATGTAAGTGAAAATATGTTCCGATCAAATTGTTTCACAGGAATATGAGATCATTTATATTCAATATTCTTAGGTTGTATGTTGAAATCAAACACAATATCACACAGCTAATGGTAACAGAATCAAGACTCTGGTCCATCCCAGGCTGGATACAGTAGGGCTCCACTTATAATTATCAAAACCTTGCACAGTACCTTTTTGTTATAGTTAGGATCGAAGAATACTCAGGGAGACTGTACCAGGGAGGATTCTACTGATCTTAAAAAAACTGAAAAAACTGGTGTTGCAAATTGTTTATTGGTCTTCGTGTATGTAGAATGAAATGCTAATTTGGGAAAAGGAATGAAAACAGTGTCATTACCAGTACATGGACATGAACGTTTGAGTCATCACACAACATATTATAACTGAATAAACTCCTTACAATATGTTTTGAAGATGAAAAAAATTTCAATTTTGTTCAGGGTTCACCACTGCTGGTAACAATCACTTGTTATTCCCTGCCCAACAAAAACTGTCCTTCAGTCTGTTTGTCTGGATGCTGTTTTCTGCATGAGGTCTTTTGAAGGATGGGTCAGATTTTGATGAAACTTGGAATACTTGTTACCTTAATCCCTTGCCCAAGTCAGATTAGCATTGAATTCCAGGGATAGTTAATGAGGCTGCTGTGACCTGATTGACTGATTTCTTTAATCACTCTTGGACACATTTTTCGGTATGATATCTTTTGAAGGACTGGTCAGATTTTTATGAAACTTGGTTGGTACACTTGTTACCTTAATCCCTTGCCCATGTTAGATTAATGTTGAATTCCAGGGATAGTTAATGAGGCTGCTGTGACCTAATTGGTTGCGTCTATTCAGGTTTTCCTTGTTACTCACTTTAAATGTATATATTTTACAAATGAACCTGGACGGAGGATCTTGATGACTGTGTCCTTGTTTTGGAACTTGAAATTGTTTCAGTGAATTGTGCATATTCACAAATGTGGCCGATTTGATGAAAATGTATTCCAATTTATCTGTTGATAGTCATCTTTTTTAAAACCGTTTGTTTTTCCATGTGAAGGATTATGTCTCACATTGCTATTTATATATTATCAATACCTTTGATTTTTTCCTGCCAACCCTGATACATTGTTCCACCTGCATATAGTTCACCATGATTATCCTGAATGTTTATTCATGTTTATGTAATTGACCCAACAGACCTTTATAGAGAAGACTGTGTTGGTAATGCTATCCCGAGGCCTGGAAATGTTCACCTTTATCTTAAATCTTGATCTTTGCGGTATATGTGAAGTTTTTTGGAAAAGTTGTTTGAAAAGGTATCTGTGACTTTGAAAAATGTCAAGATCATTCATTTTAACAAACTTAGTAGCCATCATTCCAGCATGCAACTGACCAAATATCACTACCCAAGGCCTTTTTAGTTCTTTAGAAGAAGTTGTTTGGTGACTTTGAAACATTGAACCTTTAAAGTATGTAAGTGAAAATAAACATTAAAATCTCTATTTGTGATATTTACAGATAACACAGCAAGAAAATGAAGGCTGCCAGTGTGACGATAACTAACGTGAAACACGACGACCTTGACCTTCAGCTCCGAAGGGTCAAAAGAACTTCAGCCCCTCACTTCCACACGTCTGTCAGTGTTAATCAATCATCACATAAAACTCTGGTGCTGTTTTTTGGTTGGCTCGGTGCCAAACCACATGCCCTGGAATGTTATTTCAATTTGTATGCTGAAAAAAACATGGACGTCTTGTACATTCCTGACCAGGTGAAACTGTTTGTATGGCCACCCAATGTGGACAAATTTTCAAAGTCCTTGATAACTTTCCTTATAAACAATGAAGAAGTGAATCTGTATGGTAGTTTCCTAGTCCACGGTGTTTCCATTGGTGCTTATGTTTTCACCTGTTGTTTGATGAAAGCGGATCAACACTGCACACAGTTCGGTTCCTTTATTGACAAAGTCCATGGTGTTATTCTTGACAGCCCAACCTATGGATCGATCGAAAGAATGAGAAAAGGAGTGGCAGAGGGGCTTAGCAAAAGTCGCATCATAAAGGCTGTGATTCCAAGACTGCTGTCAGTGTATTTCTACTTCACGTGGAAGTACACCGTGGAGTTTTTTGAGAAAGCCATGCATTTCTTAGAAACACAACCATTAAATGTACCATATGCTTTTTTCTATTCCCGTGAAGATCCCATGTGTGATGCAGACGTCATCACAGATATGATTGAAAATTGGCGGGAAAGCCTGTCTATCTCTGTGATAGTAAGATTTTGGAATAAGTCTGTGCATGCTGGCCACTTACGTCATCATCCAGATGACTACAAACAAACATTTCATCAGTTTATTGAAGTTTACTTTGACAGATTGAACAAACAAATCAAAAGAATGGCAGAACTGAAATCAAAACTGTGATATTTATTATCAACAGCAGTACTAAGTGCCTTGCAGGATCATTTTAATACTACATTTAAAAATTCAAACTAGCATTATTCTTATTGATTTATTGTATTTATAATTTTGATGAAAATCATACTATGTTGTTGATTTATTGTTATTTTAATAAACTTTATTAATGTTTTGTCGTCTAATCTGCATCAGAGTCACACAGATTACTGTCAACTTGTCTCAGTGCCACACAGTTTACTGTCAACTTGTCTCAGTGCCACACAGTTTACTGTCAACTTGTCTCAGTGCCACACAGTTTACTGTCAACTTGTCTCAGTGCCACACAGTTTACTGTCAACTTGTCTCAATGCCACACAGTTTTCTGTTAACATATCTCAGCAGCAGTGTTGACTATTAATTTATCTCATTGCCACTCAGTTTTGCTATCTATGGTATACAAATATATATATTGGCCTAGGTTTTAAGTTGTTTTCATTCTAGGATGTGCCAGGTGCCTTTGGTTATAACTTGTCCATTTCTTGCTATACAGAAAAGTTCCTCATGTTGCTATGTGGTCATTGGTAACCATAGGTCACAGCGGTCAGAGTCAACACAATATCATCCTTAATTTGCTTAGTGCATTGCTGTGTCTCCATAACACCTGTGCACGCTATGCATTATGGGGGATTTTCAACAATCAGAGTGGTATTGATGAATGGGATCAGGTGTGCCAAGTTTGTCCAGACATCATGACAGTGGGATCAGGTGTGCCAAGTTTGTCCGGACATCATGACAGTGGGATCAGGTGTGCCAAGTTTGTCCGGACATCATGACAGTGGGATCAGGTGTGCCAAGTTTGTCCAGACATCATGACAGTGGGATCAGGTGTGCCAAGTTTGTCCAGACATCATGACAGTGGGATCAGGTGTGCCAAGTTTGTCCAGACATCATGACCGAGAAAACAAACAATTATTCTTAATATCTTATTGATTTGATTAGGGAGAATTCACTAAACACATCTGTACACTTTAGCTGCAGTTTTACATTTTTTAGCTCACCTGCACCGAAGGGCCAAGTGAGATATAGGGATACCGGGGCTTCCGTCGTGTGTTAATTTTTACTATATATTGTAACTATTCATGAACGACTGAGCGGATTTTAATCAATTTTGGCCTGAAGCATCTTTGGGGGAAAAGGAACCAATTTTGTGGAAAGTCTGTCAAATCTTTTAAATTTTTCGTGTTCTTTATGAATTGCAGGATATTGTCCAAAATTGGTCTGGAGCATGCTTAAGTGAAGGAAAATCTGTTTTGTATAAATGGAGGGGCTCGGCCCCCTAGGGCCAGATGGGCGGGCCTAATAGGGAAAATCTATCAAGTTCTTTAAAATCTATCTTTTTCTTATATTTGAATGCCTGGATTATGTCCCAACATGGTGTGAGACTTGCTTGGGGGAAAAAGGGATCAATTTTGTATGACCAATGGATATAGGTCCATTGGGACTAGAGGGCTGGGGCCAAATAGGGAACAAAACAAATTCTTTATTCTTTATTATGTTGGAACTGAAAACATTCTTGATGAAGAAAAGTGATGAACGTCAGAATGCCAGCCCTTAATAGTGTTGGAAATAAGCACCTGAATAAACATTCAAACGATAAACATGGGTACAATTTCGACAGGAAATTCAAATATGAAACCTTCAGATCAACATACATTACTGTATATTATGCATTGTGTGAATTAATTAATATTTTAACATGGTAACACAACTGACTAATGAAGGCAATTATTGACTTGTGCCTATCCAGGCCTTGAACTCGAAGATTTTTGGCTCCAAATTGCCTAGCCAAGAAATTTGACAATTCAACCGCCGAACTGCCTACACCACCTGGACATATACAATGTATATGGATAAGGCCAATTGTGAGATTTTGTAATACTATTACGAGAGAGGTAAAAACTACCTCAGTCTTGTTTCGTTCCTATGGTTGATGTACATGATTAAGTATACCCATTATCATCATTATTATTATCATTACATTTTAAAGATGCCACTGGTGGTAGTTAGCACTGTCGATTCATTGGAGTGGTCAGAGTCCATTCTTCACTGAATGTTTCAACCCCTAACTTAGAACAGTCTCTGGAGGGTGGGTCCACACTGGTGATCAGTCATTGTGCTCCGACTGCTGACTTCCAGGTACTATACTCTCTCTTCATCCACTCCCCACTGCAGTTATTATTGTCATTATTATTACTATTATTTTCAACAGTAATGTTTACCTAACAAATCAATGGAAAAACTTCTGTCACTGCAGACAAGATAAAAACAGTTATTTATTTATTTCATTCCAGAAGCTTGTTCAACGTCGAAACGTAGGAAAGATGTTTCGGGGAATGTTGAAATATTCCGGATATTTTGTACAATTTCCGGATCGAAATTTGTTGCACTGCACTTATAGCTCTGTGTGTCATGAACGCTTTCATCTGTGTGTTTAGCATGCTTTGAAATTCACATGGGGATATGTGTGGCAACTTATTGCAATTAGCCGATATTGACCTGCATTAATACAATCCACTTTGAAGGTAATTACACAAATGCTTTATGTACGTTATCGAGCATCCCATATGCAAACATTTTAAGTGTGATGACTGTGGAATGTCACCACCAACAGATTTGTCAATGACCTTAGCTTTCACGTACCCGCTATGTTTCAAAACAGTGTCATGCATGCATACTCCTCCATCATCGGCGGCTCGGTATATTGTGTATCACACTCGCAGGCGGCATCTTCAATTACGTATCTTCAAATACTAAATGAAGGAAATGACATCAAAAGATATGCACTAAATATGATTATAGTACATGGTTATATGAAATGTCAATTTCATACATAAAAAACGACATAGTTGTGACAATTTTACTTTATCAAGAACGACAGCTTGGTACGTTTCATACAAAGTCCATATAAAACTCTGTAGAACACATCGTGTAAAATTCCAAAATAAATGATAATGAAAAGCATGATTAATGGTGATATACATGGGACTATGATCATCCAGACTTGCTTTGTCCGGTTCCATTTCTATGTTTTAATTACTCTGGCCCCCAACACTAAACCGGCCCGTAAATAACTTGTTTTGATAAATACAAAGCAACATGTGACATATTTGTTGTTATTAACAAGTGATACAAGTTTTATGCTTACTAAATGTAATAACATCACATTGTGACAAATTTACTTATGACAATTATCATCCCTTTTTTGGAACACGACTGTCGGAGCCAATCCGATTCTCCGCCGAAAGACATTGTTATGACTTTTAAAAGTAGAGAATTAAACCCATACAATATAGAATTTCGCTGCAACTACGAAGATGTGCTCTGTGTATGGTAATAAAAAGGAAACAATGTCCCATTCGTGGGGAAATGCCCTAAAAGTACCCCTTTTCATCATTACTACTCCTTTTCGGTTCTTTTCGTGGCTTATTCCTACCGCAAATGCCATGGTTAATCGTGATGTGTCTTCAGACACTATAGCTCGAAAATAAGTTGGTGACATGAAATAATGTATTTTTATAATGATTACAATACATCATTACACCAAGTTTTATGTTGATAATTGTAAATTAGTTGAGTTGCAGAGAGATCATTTTTCTTAAATTACCTACAGGTGTAGATGTATCACACTTGGGAGCAGCATCGTGTTATTGCATGTTGATTTAATAAGGAATAATGTCAATTACAAGATAGAATTCAGCCCATAATCATTATATGACTTTTATCATAGATATATAACATGTGAGTGTCTCTGGTATTAATTTTCTCGTTACACAATATTAGGCACAGACCATGGCCAGGTAATGTGAATAAAGTTTTCTCTCATGTTCTGCTGTTACATTGTGCCTGTGCCAGCTGACACAAGCTGAGGCCCCAACTCTGTATTGCAAGCAGTATGCAGAGTACAGACTGTAAGCAAGTGTACTTGGTCACAGCATAATAATCCTTCACTACACATTTCTGATAAGATAAGACAAAGACATTCTTTATTATGACAAAGAGGTAATTACTTGGTTTATAATCTTAACTTTCACAAATATGTTTTGTAAACGCTAATGAAACCGATTTTAGTTGATAAGATTTTGTAGTCATAATTTAAGAACCCAAAGCTTTCCTCAAAGGAAAATTGCTCAATGGAAGGCTGAAACTGATGCAGTCATTAGAAAGAAATAAAAGAGATGTTCAGAAAGAATAGAAGAGAAATACCTCAAATTTTGTTGTCTATTACAAATCATACTATAGTGGCATCCGGTATAATTCTTAAATTCTAGAATCTTGGGTTTTAATGTGTTCAAAGTTTAAAAAAAATGAGAAAAATTGGTAATGGTGATGTGAATATCTTTAATGAATGTCATGTGACTTTATCAGTTTAAGCACATGTTCACCAGTGAAAGTTCCCATCACAAAAACGGGGCTGAGAGGTGACCATCTTGGATTTGGCAGTGAAATATTATTATTGCTATTTCTGCAAAGGAATGTTTAAATTTCATATCCTTAAAAGCAACAACAGAGGAGAAGAGATGAAAGAAGGGAAAAGATCCAACTTTTAAAGAACAAATAAAGATCAAACAATGGTGGGCACCAAGATCCCTCTGGGATCTCTTTTATGTTTTTAAGGGGTTTTTTTCAGTGTTGAAACCAGTTACTAAGCTTTTAAAATAATATTTATAGATTACATGGCAAACTTTCAGTGTTTTGCTAAAAATCAAGACTACATTCATTGAACATAAAACTTGGGTTTCAATGATTAAAATTAAGTACAAAGGTGCTGATTTTAAGAAATATTTTTTACTTTCAGATGCCAAGATTGGTGGACAAGAGTAAATTTCTGGTGATCAGACTGGCATTACATGGCTGTACAAACAGACCATTCTTCCATATTGTTCTGGCACGCAACAGAAGTCCAAGAAATGCTAGACCTATCGCTCAGCTAGGAACCTACGACCCCATGCTAAATACCAACAATGAACAAATGGTTTCACTTAACATGGCTAAAATAAATGATGTTCTTTGTCAAAAACCAAAGATTACAAAAACTGCAGCTAAATTATTAGGTAAGACCAAGGTATTGTGTATTAAATGTCCACTCTACTCCTCTATGTCCTCCTCTACTTGAGTTAAAGCAGGGCTTTTTTCAGGGGGTTCAGTGGAGTCAAAAAAGGCAAATTCCCAAAACTCCTTAAAATGTCTTTCACAAGTGATCATTATTTCCCAAATTGAGATAAAAAGGCATATTCCCAAATGAGCAGAAGAAAATCATCAAGTGTTGCCCTTCCCTTATGATAAATTTGATGTTATTTTAGTCGTGTTCCACGTTTATGTATATAAATATTTAACAGGTTTTACGTCCACTATTATGGCCTTTTGGCCTTTCAACGGATGAGAAAAGCTAGGAAAATAAGTAGAAAGGGAAAAAAAATGAAGCATTGGAAGAGAGTGGGACACAGACATGAGATAGATAGGGGTCGTCAATGCTACCTGACCTGTTCTTAAACTATAATTTAGTAGACAACCCTTTGGCATAGTTGTAGCCCTAGTCTAACACTTGGCACTTCACAGCAAGAGGACTGGTAAATGACTGAGAGGAAGGGAATCCTACAATAAAAAGTTTTCATATGTTGATAGTATTTTGGAAGTCCATCAAAATTACTTAATAACTCTTTTGTTTATCTAACCCTACCTTTAGGCTGGCAGTGTTTGGGGGAAAAAACACAGAAGGATCTTTATCATGTGAATTTAAGTCCCATCTGACAGACTGTTTTACATATATAAATCACAAGATCACGATAGCTAAGTGTAATGCCTGTATGATGAAGTACGAAAAATTCAGCAGTCTTGCATGAAATCTATCTGATTTCCTTTAAAATTTGTAATAAACAGTAACGTAGTGATCATGACACAAATTTTAGGCACAGCATGACAATGAGAATAATACTAACTGACCACATATTCTAGGCCTTTTAACTCTGCCTGTAGAACCAAGAATTACTTGTTACACTTATTGTACCACATATTCTAGGCCTTTTAACTCTGCCTGGTGAACCCAGAATAACTTGTTACACCTATTGTACCACATATTCTAGGCCTTTTAACTCTGCCTGGTGAACCCAGAATAACTTGTTACACCTATTGTACCACATATTCTAGGCCTTTTAACTCTGCCTGTAGAACCCAGAATTACTTGTTACACTTATTGTACCACATATTCTAGGCCTTTTAACTCTGCCTGGTGAACCCAGAATTACTTGTTACACCTATTGTACCACCTATTTGTTTCCTGTTACAGGGTTAAGTGGTTGTCTGCCTATCCATCCCCTCACTTACTTAGAAGCACATAGAGCCACAAAAAAGTCATCATCGATATCTGAGTCCAGTACACACTTGGAGGGCAATGATGAAGAAGAAGATGTGTGATAGATTTAGCATTTTTTTGACAGATGAATCCAACTGATGGATGAAGAAAGCACCACACCATGATAACTAGGACAAAACTTCACTGCCAAACGACTTTGTGTGTGTTTTGTTAAGGTTTCCTTGGTATTGTTGGGATCCAAACATAACTTTTGTTCTATGAAATAATTTACTTCATTCATATTGTTTTCTACAACACTTCAGTAGAAAGACATTGTACTGTTCAAGAACATTATTTACCAATTTAGTTTAATCAGTGAAAATTTTGACAATATATATATAGATCATGGAACATAGCCAATGTTATGAAAATGAACTTTGACCCATGGGTCATCAATGTAGATGGTCTTCATAAAAAGTCTCAAATAATTAAAAAGGTTTATCCTATATATGAAAAAGAATTCATCGCAGAGTTGCATGTCAAGGGCTTGAGTATTGTTGTAGATTTGTCAGAGAAATCAGTCTGTGTGTTTCTAGGTCCAACTCTGTAGGTCAAAGCCATGTAAGGGAGCAGGTCAGATTTTTAAAGCTGTGACTACATGTATGTGACTTTGTAAGAGAAAAAAAATCAAATTCTTCTCATGTGACTTAGAAGGTTATAAGCATTCACAGATCTTGGAGATTTCAGTGGAAAATTCATCAGTCCTTAATTTTATCTTGTGAAGTTGGAATGTGAAATATTTGCAGTTTCCTATGGAACTGTTGATATGTATATGATATACTATAACTATATAGCAGAACGTGTTGATAATGTGATGTTATGGCATTTAGGTATGGATGGAAAAGATTGTGTGAAATAAAGATGATTTGATAAATTTAACCAATCATATTTATTGATGTTTAAAGTAATGTGTACTTTATATTCATCTTTCAGTATTTCAACTCACAGATTGATAAAATTAAACAATTATGTAAAACTAGGGATGATAAACAAACCCTTTTTACAAGGTTTGTCTTTACATTCATTCCTATGGTTACTGTCATCACTGGTGTACTTGAAACATACTTGGATGCATTTTTTAGCTCACCTGTTCCAAAGGTCTGTGGGGCAGGGCCCAAATAGGAAAATTACGAAATTCGTTATTTGAACAACTTGCTCAGGAAGGAATGACAGGATTTTGGGAAGAACCATTGGGATGACTCTGTTTGTACGATCAATATCTAAATTGAAGACAAATATCATTGTTTATTTTTATTAATCATAACAGCCAAAGCTGACAATAACTCAAATACAGTAGACAGAAGCCATTCCACCAGCACACGCGCCTGTGGCCTTTGTCTTGTCTAGGACGGATGAACGAATGCACTGACGGAAGTCGGTCTCCCATCCGATACATCCAACGTTTGTCATCCACACAACTGGATTGTTAAGGTTAGCTCCTTGTGTTGTTGACGTTGGTATTCCAAATCCCATTCGGTAACCAAACTGACGACAGTAAACACGCGCGTCTTTGTAATCCCAGCCATTAGCACACACTGTTCCATTGATACCATACATCTGTATGACTGGACTGACGGGAAACGTGGTTGGGGGATGTACCTGTACATCTAAAAGAAAGAAACATCACTTTGAAACAAGAAACAGTGAAACACCTTATTTACATACACTTTCCATACACATGTCACGTGACTTTGAAACATGGATCAGTGAAGCACCTTATCTACTGACATTGTCCATCGACAGTTCACATGTTTATCGGGTATGTATGTACATATATTATAATGAAAAGTTAGAAATATTCCACGATATGATGAGAAGGAAACATTGAAACTTAACTGAAAAATATACGAGTAGTTATTGAAATCTATAGTTTTCATTAAAAAAAAGAAATCGACGTTTCTGTTTAGTTTTTTACATAATACTTTATTTCAAAATGTTTACTCATAAAATAGATAAAAAAAGTCACCTGGACGGTTTATCAGCGTCACTGGCACATTTACTGTTAATTGTTAACGTCTATAAGTTTTCAGTTGGTTTTAATAATGGGTCCTTGTCAAGTGATAAAGAGAATGCTACACTATGTATTCTTCAGTGTTGTTCTGTAATTGAATATCTTAAGATGTATAATGGGGATCCTGTACTGGAAATGCTTATCAATGTATGGTGGGGATTCCGTACCGGAAATGCTTATCACCCACAGTGAATATCTTTAGATAACTACAATGTATGATGGGGATTCCGTACCGGAAATGCTTATCAGTGTATGATGGGGATTCCGTACCGGAAATGCTTATCAGTGTATGATGGGGATTCCGTACCGGAAATGCTTATCACCCACAGTGAATATCTTTAGATAACTACAATGTATGATGGGGATTCCGTACCGGAAATGCTTATCAGTGTATGATGGGGATTCTGTACCGGAAATGCTTATCACCCACAGTGAATAGCATATACTACACCCAATTCACCTTCTCGATTCGAAACGTAGATCAAAGTGAGCAGTTTTGTGTTTATAAGAAGTCGCGAAACATGTGACCATAAGGTTTTGTTTTAAATATTACTACGTATTTAACAGCTCAGGTAAGATTTTGTTCCGGAGAACATCATAATATGATTTGATGTTTAGTTTTTAGACTTGTCTTTAAAACCTACCCGGTACAGCATTTGCACGAAGACATAGAACAGATGCATAGGCAGCAGGAAAGTATGGAGGCACTCTCGATCTGCAGTTTGTTGTCTCGGTAAGCTGACAATTCCTTAAACTTGTGGACGTGTCTGAACAGTTCATCTGGAGGAAGAATATTCTGAATTTGTTGTCAACTGTCAGAGGCTCACTGATAAGTGGAACTCCGACAGGGAACCCTAATTCTTTACAAACCATTTCGGCGTCCTTAGTCCCAAACTCCTGGTCACAAACATGGTACCATCGTTCTCTATGAAATACCAAGACACTTCCGGTCGTACCAATGGCGCTGGATTGCGTAGAAGCAAGGAATGCTGGAGAAGAAATCTCAATTTTACATCATCTAGATACACGGAAACATTAAAAAAAAGATATGTCCCGCGATTATCGATCCGGGGATACAAAAACAGAGGAAACAAAAACTAAAGCGGAACATACAAATGATTGGTGAGAGAGAGGGTTAGCTGTTATACATACCGTGTTCATAACACTCTACTCCGGCAAAGTTTTTACCACCGGCGCAAGCAGAAATGTAGCCATCGTTTTTCCAGCCATCATTTTTACATTCGAAAACACTTCTCTCGCCCTTAGCACATTGTACATTTGTCATAAACGTGGTGTTGTAAGGCGCTGCCAGTCCCCTGAATTGGAGAGCAATAACACAATTCTAATGAAGACATTGTGAAATAAAAATCAAGTTAAAACTGTAATACATGGTATCTTCAATGGAAACCCCGAATATAAAAATACTTTTGTATTTGTATTGCTCAGACTATATACAGTTTGTGCTGTTCCCAAACTGGTCCTACTCATGTTATGATCATGTCCTCTTGTAATATTACTTAAATGCATGCAAGTCAACAATTTTTTCCGCATGCTATTCTAATATATTACACGCCCTTTTCAAACTCGATATTGAAGTATATTGAACGATATTTAAGTTTTTGTTGTGCTGTATGTGAATCATGAAGTATTTTTGCCCATTGTTTTATAAGTTAAGTGTACATCAAACTTGCAACGATCATACTTCACGTCAGAATAAAACATTGTTACAGGGCGATCATCGCTCAAATCATTGTGTATGTTCCCATTTGCGAAATCATGCATTCTCAAATAGGTTAAAACAGGTCTGTTCGCAAAATGGAGTATTCACGAAATCTGTGTTGAAATAGAAACTAATCCCGGTCCCTTTCCTCCAATCGCTAACTCCCCGGCAATCTCCTCAGTATCATTTACACATCACTCGTCCCGCTTGAACGTAAAATAGTTTACGTCCGAAACTAGATATTATGTTTATCGAACTATAAGAACGTAGTACTTCAGCATTTACAGGATCTTGGTTTTCCGACTCTGATAAAAATTCGTCTTTGAATATTTCTGGTTTTCCTTTTTGTTACTGTCGTGATAATGCCTTGGATAGGCTGTTAAGAATGCCTTGCTTCATTTGAAAGCTGTTGAAGATGTAGCAGTAGGGTTAGGATATCGTATCATTCCCAAAGTGCACAAGGAACCTCGACATCACTAGCTCAGTCATTTTTACACATATCTATGTTTTCACACTTCCTTGTTACAATGAATATTTCCATCATCGTGGAAAGAAGTAAATGTTTAACTTATATATAAAAAGCAAAAGCCGTAATGACGTTAAAAACTGTTGACTAAATGATCTACTACATGTAAAGTGTCCGAGAGTTTATAAATATGGTCATACTTTTCTTGATTTATCACAGTCCCATCTCGTTATTCCTTTCCTTTTCTACTTCGTATATTTCAAAATTGATATTCCTTTGTATTGTTGAAAATTTGAAGAAAAAAAAACAAACAATCAAAACAAAGATTAATCTGAACTTAAACTGTTGATTGAACACTGAAGACAGCCACCGATAAATATTTAATATAATTTCAAAGTGTACAACAGTTATTTTTTTTAACAAAGATACAATTTATGAAATATAAGGCGAATGTAGCAAACACTTGTAGAGTTTGTTAATGTCTGATACACATGGTTAAACTCCCTCGTCATGTCTACCACGAGTCCAAGTCGACGGCACAAATATTCGACTTATCCAATGGTTCGACATAGCATATGTGCATGTTATCCTCATAGATAGCTTAAACGCGATGAAGTAGTCAGGTGAATTCTAGTGTATCAACACTCTCCGACATTCTAACATCAATTTATTTCATTTTTCTTTAATAAAGTTTTATTTATTGACTGTTCCGAAATCTTTGATAATAAAGAATCTTTGTAGTATTTGACTTACAACTTAGCTTTAGAGCACATACATCATCATTTTATCTGGCAGCTGTGACAGATTGGAACAGTAAAGTTTGTCACTGAATGGATGCGAGTGTAACACGGACCACAAGTCAACCTGATGTCTACCTTTAATTTTCGTCTGCACCCAGTCGGCTCTGTTTGACATCTTCCATCTATGACAGACTTGATCGATGCTGATTTGACTTTCCTGTCACTCACTAATCCCTTTTTCTCGAAGTCTGCACCCAGTCGGCTCTGTTTTTCTCGAAGTCGACTCAGGCTTCCGCGTTATTACGAACAATTTCTTCCAACGAATCCCATACCACTACACTCGCAACTTATTGTTAACTAGTTACGTACTCCTCAAAGTTTAACTCGCAGACAGGGTCGAACTTTGTTGTCGAATGAAAAGTTTAAGATATTTTGGGATCTTTAGACTGTGACTAACGTATTAGTGTATAATAAAAAGTGTGCCATTTAGTTTTTTTTTTTTTTGGAATTTGAATTGTTTCAGTGACGTAACGCCCTTTTAAAGACAATCTTTTGAATCTTGTATGTTTATTCTATTATGATTGGTTTACCGGATGTTGTCTCCGTCTGCATATCCAAGCTGCTGACAGGCCACCCTTGCATCGACGACGTCCCAATCCGTGTCACATATACCTCCTTTCCGTCCGTCTATTTCTATCTCTAGTCGACCGACGCGTGGACTCTCCTCTATAAGTCGAAGCACTGGAGCTGGAACATTTGGATTTGATAATGGACACTTAATTGTTTATGTAATCAAGCATCTGATACGTGTTAATTAACTGAAAGTCAAATGATAAGTGCCATAGAGAACAATGTGTGATATGACACGTCATTAATACAGCGTGGTAAAATCAATGCGTCTTAATACAGCGTGGTAGAATCAATGTGTCTTAATACAGCGTGGTAGAATCAGTGTGTCTTAATACAGCGTGGTAGAATCAATGCGTCTTAATACAGCGTGGTAGAATCAGGGTGTCTTAATACAGTGTGGTAGAATTAATGCGTCTTAATACAGCGTGGTAGAATCAATGTGTCTTAATACAGCGTGGTAGAATCAATGCGTCTTAATACAGCGTGGTATAATCAATGCGTCTTAATACAGCGTGTTAGAATCAATGTGTCTTCACACAGCATGGTAGAATCAACGTGTCTTAATACAGCGTGGTAGAATCAATGTGTCTTAATACAGCGTGGTAGAATCAATGCGTCTTAAAAAGCGTGGTAGAATCAATGTGTCTTAATACAGCGTGGTAAAATCAATGCGTCTTAATACAGCGTGGTAGAATCAATGTGTCTTAATACAGCGTGGTATCATTACTACAGAGACAGGAAGTGTGGACAACAATTCTGTTCATTTTATACATCTAGAGGGACTTTCTGGCTTTATGAAAAAAATATCGGTGTTTCAGTCAATAGAAGCAAAATGAGTAAAATACAACTACACAAAACACGGACTTGATTTACTTCAATACTTCAGAATTAATACTGTAAGAGAAATTCGCCAAACCAATGCCCAGCGGAAACATCTGACTTTGACCCGTTACAGTTCTATAAAAACCAATCAAGTCATTCTTTAAACGTGTTTGTGAGTTTCAATTATAAACGGGCAAGCCTGAGAAGCGACATTACGACTGATGGAATTGAAGCATGTTATTGAAAGCAGAGCTGGAAATAAAACAAGACGAGCTGAGGCTATTGGGCGACGAGTTAGCGAAACCGTAGGTTTCTGAAGGATTCTTCTTAATGGATGAGTAGTGACCTCACAGCCACCTATTGTTCATTTCACTGGCTTTTTTCTATTTTTTTCCTCGGCTGACTTAAAGTCCAAAGACATAATCATTCTTGTTTACCTTTGAAGACGAAAATGAAAGAAAATCCGTTTGCGTTATGTCATCAAATGAACACAAACTTAGAATGGAAATAAATGGAAATGTGTGTTACAACTGAAACAAATTAACAATAAAAAAAACGTGTACACACTATTACATCTTGACGCATGATACCTGGCGACCTTGACACCGTTGACCTTGACTTTAAGTACTGACCTCGACTTTGTAACATATGAACCTTGACATTAAATACTGGTTTTAATGGTGGAAACAGAACATCCTGGCGACGTTAAATACTGACCTTGATGTTCGTAACAAAGCACTCCGGCGACCTTCACGTTTTTGTCTGTGTACACACAAGCCTGACCCTGTCGGTTACATTCGCTTAGAGACCTTTCTGTTCCCAAGCAGTTCACAGATCCATAGAGAAAAGGACTCATGCTGGAATTGCTGGCAACGGAATATGCTACTCCACCTGAGATTGGTATTAATGCATTATAACAAAAGTGACTCCATCGATGAAACTTATTCGCCTTTGTAATGGTGACTGATTTCACAAATAGTTTGTCACTTATACGGAAAATTAGGACACCTCGACATCTAATTTACCAGAGAAAAGTTATGTCCAAACAGTGGTCACTGTGTTTAAAATAGTTGACCTGAAACACTTTGATTGTTCATTAGTTAGGACTTTTGACACAATTTTACGATTATTTTGGCTTATTACCAAATAATGTGTGGAATTTTCTGTACAGAACCCCATACATATATGTGTTTTCTAACGAAACTGGACCACTTACCAGGATACCCTAACTGTCTGCAGGCGACCATAGCGTCTTTATCGTCCCAAGTTGAGCCACAAACACTGCCCCAGATTCCTTCTGTTTCGGTCATCACCAACCCCGAAACCAGCCTTATTGAATCACCTGGGGAAAAACATGAAGGCATTCTGCCGATGTAAATAAATGGCCGAAACAAGCCAAATTCAGAGGCATTATTCTGCTGATTTTTGTCAAACGTAAAACATGCGTTAAGCGCATACTTACATATCTTTCTATCTTAATTAAAAATAAAATGTATATAATTATTTTGAGCCATCTTGATATGTGTATATGTATATGTTTTTCTTCTAAAGGAAAGGACGTTAATAATGGTATGGTAACTTGTGCCCTATCCTTTTGCTCAACGGCAATGAAATATGTTTAAACAAATAAACATACTGAAGACTGCAAACAAAACACGCAATACATGTGATCAAATGCTATTTAACACAATAAAGACGAGGATTTGATTCACCACAACACAAGGTAAGTAACTTTAAGTACCTGAGGTATAATTACGGTTTCATTACTGGAGCTAAGTCGTTATTTTTCTGATGTGTTCATATACATTCATTTGTATTCTTGACTACCGACAATTGTCTTTCATAAGTAGTTGGACCATTTTCGAAACAATAAGACAAAAATCAGGAGTTCTAATTTTAAAATGCATTACATATCAAATATAATCATATTGTGGATAAGATAGTGAAACCTGGCGTATACACGCGACATAACTTACTTGGACTGACCAATGTTTACATAGCGGGTGTCGTCGACGAAGACGCCTACTCTCTCAGTACACCTGGTCTTATTATCCTTACAGGAGTTTCAGTGTAAATATTGTAAAGCTATCGTTTGTTTATATTTTGTCCTAGTTTTATCTAATTTGAGTTTGGATTATGATTATGTTAGCATGTTGGTATTTTCTTGTTTTTAGAAAACTTACTTCCTGTTATTGGCATATTTGAGCAGACCACGGCTCCATAGTTGTACGGGTTTTGGCTGCACGTGTTTGAAGACGTACATTGTCTGATGGTGGTCTCCGATCCCGAACATAAAATATTTCCCTGAACATATTTGGTGTGTACGTTCTCAACTTTGCCGTAGGTCCCTATTGGAAGGTCACGGCCAAATTGATATCCAAGTTCTCGGCAGACAACAGCAGCGGCGTTCCGGTCGAAGCCGTCCCCACACTGTACTCCCCATGTCTTGTCGTCATCCAGAACGTACACTATCCCGTGATTAGAACCACCATTCTCCAGTCGAACTGCAAGGAATCAGGATTATGATAAAACTCACCAAGAAAATGCCTTATCAGTGAATACAGAGGTGTCCGTTGTAAAAATGATCAATTGTAATTTGGTTCTAAAAGTTTCCATTTGGGATTGAAAGAGATGAAAACATAATGTCACCATTCTGTATGATATCTTGTCGCTAGGATTTTCAAATAAAGATCCTTATGATAAGTTGTTTTTCTTTATTAATAAGAAAACAAACTTAGAGTTTTCCGTATTACCGACAGTTTAGAATGGCTATGCAGTGTAAAATATATGTAAATTAGATCTTACTAATATCGTTGTGACACGTGACTGCCGCATCCTCAGTATGAACACAATTGTTCACACCCCATTGCGCATGCGGGCACTTAGCCAGAGTCGTTTCCTGTCCGTTACATTTGACGTCATCTAGGAAAATGGAACCAGTGCCAATTCCATACAGGTAGCGCGCCCTCTTTGCCTGCAAGGAAAACAGAGTTCGTTTCGTTTTATATTGTTTTATATTGTTTTATTTTGTCTTAAATGTTTAAGATGGAAAATTATTTTCCAAAAAAATGCAATAAATAAACAAATCTGGTTCGATGTGTGTTACAAGTAAATGAGTACTGATGCACCAAATTAGATGACGTAAAAGTCACGTTCAGGAGACGGACGTTTTGCGTTACATACAATTAACCATGCATAGCCACAGAATTTGAATATATCGTTTTATCTTACAGCTAGAGATTGTTTTAACTTCAGATTTTAAGAATGAACAAGATGTGTTTCTGAACAGTATGCCTCCAGTGGCAACAAAATTCTGTAGCGGGATATTAAAACCGTACTGTGAAATCCATGTGCTAATTGCATGCACACTTGTGAAATTACTGGAAATTGTCTACGCTCGAGTGGCATAACTACATGTATGTAAAATATTAAAGTCTACCTCTTACAGTGCAATAGTTAAGGCGCATGTTTAAGTTTTTTTCAAATGTAAGTCAAAGGTCACAGTCAAGGTTACATGGTTATAAAGTTTGGTACACCGAAAAGGTCTTGTCAGGGGAGCATATTAAACACATCACACGGGAAATATTCACCGCTCCCCATTTGTATCCCATCTCACGGCAGACCACGTGTGCGTTGTAATCTGACCAACCATCGTTGCAGACAGTACCCCACGTGACTCCATCCTGAGAAACTTCCACCCTCCCCTCGTTAGCGTTTCCTCCACGTAGTCTAATGAACATCGCTGTAATGGAAAGCAATTATATGTAAACAAAGGCATTCGATGCCACTGTTTTTGTGAGATTGCAATTCGTGTCAAGTTTAACTTACAAGAAAACATTTTCTGATCACGTGGAGAGATCTGCCTTCTATGGCATATCAAACACAGTTTACCATAGGCACTATGTCTTTTGTTTTCTATTCAATCTTCTCTTTTTTTGTTTAGTAATACAATTGCGATATCAAAAAAGATGATTTCTTATCATCGACGGAAAAAAACATGTACTTCCAAGGCCGCAAAGGCATGCGAATTAACAGTCATGTGTAAATTCTCTATTGTGTAAAAGTGTTGTACCAACCTCTTGTTACCAATCTATATCATCTGTTGAGCCGTTAGGAGACATTATCAGCTTTAATCTGATTCCGGTGTTTTGACAGCTTGATTGACAGTAACATATTCGCACCTACAGACAGGTCATTCAGCAATACTCATAAAGTATGAATGACTGAAGTCAATTATCTGACCTACTTATTATTATTCATAATTCTTCACCTACGGTGATGTAAAAGGAAACAACGAGACTGATAAAAACTGCCTCGTGTACAAATGTACGTGATACATAAACACAATATTCGTGACGTCACAATACACAAAAACCAATGATGTATATCCCCTAAAATTCTTCTTTATATCTTACCTGTACCGGTGTAAACAAGGGACAATACTGTCAGTACATGTATTGGTTTATTCATGATTGTTCTGTGTCCTTATGTGGCTGCTGGTTTAACTGGTCCAAACGTGGTCAATATATCTTAAATATAATTAGATACGCATATGATATGTATTAATAGGTATAACCTACCCCGCACTAAAATATTTATCAACATATGGTGAAAAATGCACCTTTCAAAATTTAAGACAAATTTTCATCGAAATAATCTGAAAAATATAGAGATGTTTGTGTCAACTAAATCTATACAGTTTATTTTCGTACTTTTTCATGTTACAAATTTATCAAGACATTACTTATCGACAAAAAGATTGATGTAATTTTAACATTACTGGGTGATAACTATGACTATTTTGTCGTGCTTCACACTGTAATAAACAATTCGACATGTCGCGAGAAATAAGTTTACTGTTACTTACTTGTCTATCTTGTCCAGGTGATGGAGAGGAAACACTTCTTATTTTCCTGATTAAATAGACGCCATTGTCGCGTGGATCTTTCCACGTTGAATTTTTACTAATTACTGATGGTTCGAGTAACCTCGGCCGATAAATTCACAGCTGAGGACCTTGTTACAATAGAGGCTTGTAACCATCACGCACTTGTACTCCTTTTTCTACAGCAAAATAACATTGCTCCTTTTTATAAAGTTGATAAAAATTTCAATTACTCAGCAAAATGAATACATACAATGATGAATTCCAGAAGTTCAATCGACAATAAATACCAAATGTAACGGTTTATAGGTGAGTGTTGTTTCAAATGATTAAAATAAATTAATCGATAAAAGACAAATGCAGGAGAGAATATACATGTTGTATCTCACTGCACGTCGTGAAAGGCGACTTATTGTAGGAATACCTGCAGAATCCAGGGGTTCTTTCGTGACCTTAATTGACCCGTTGTCGCCATGGCAACACTTGGGATCTTATCGTCTCCTTTCTTTCCTGTTTACTTCGTTTTTCTGTTGATGTTTCGCCAGACGCCCGTCTCCATATTAACCTGACTGCTGAATTCTGTAAAAAAAATTAAGTGAATTCAAACTATTAGGACTTTTCGACAATTTGCTGTATGTAACATGACATACATCTTTTTGTCATATAAGATCCCAAGGTGTGACCGATTGTTACATCGTTAACAAAGGTCAAGGGTCGTCATTGTCTGAAATTTATCTTACCTTGTCCATTACATGGATTGCATTTCAAAGTTTGGTGTAGGAACATGTAATGTTTACATCGACAGCCTGAGGGCCATCAGCTTTTGACATCATTTATGTAAATTAATGTACAAGTTGTTGGTAATTTTGATACTTGTGGCTATTTTAAAGCATCCGTTGGCCCTATGTCAAAAAACATTTTATAAACACTCGTAAACATTGCTTCTATTACATGCTACGTTATTCCTAGGGGAAAAAATCTGGAGAAACAAAAGTATGAGAAAATGACATATGATGAAAGTGTGTACTAATGATGAGAGTGTATACTAATAACGACAGAAGGTGACATAAGTACGTCAGAGGTCTGTTTGTTCCGGGTTTAAAGTGTACCTGAGTGAAAATAGAAATGAATAAAGTATTATTTCTTATGATATAAAATCTAAAAGATTGAAAACCGCAACAAAATCGGCCGGTTCTACACCGAGATATTGATGTGTAAAGTCTGAGATTTTCACCTGTCCTACTAATATAAGAGTGACTCGCGCTGAATGGGACCCTATCGGCTGTGACGTCACAAGTTCAACGTCTGGGAGGAGTCGTCATGGCAAGAATAAGCATTATCGAGAAAAGCTATTCTACGCAACGTCACATTGTAGATTTTTTTCGTTTTCATTTGTTCCCGTGAGCCATCCGACTTATAGGTTAAATAACAATCACATAATGACATAATATGGTACAAATATGAAAGAATGTTCTACAGATTAGGTTAAATGGAAAGTAAGCTTACAATGATACTGTAGTGTACTATTAGTTCTATCAATCACTAAATTCTATGCGTTTCCTTGAGGCACAATATAAATATTTCCCTAAATTACATAATTCTTTTACATTATTGGTGCTCAGTAATACGTTAACTTAAAAACATTTGGACTTCAGTGATAGAATTGTTTAACATATTTACATCTCAGATTTTGGTAAAATGGACATTTTAGGATGAAGTGAAATTCTTCCTCTATATCACCAGGCCCCACTTGTATAAAATATCTCATTTTCAGATTTCCTCAAGCCCAGATTTTCCTCAGCTAATATCTCCTTGAAAATATCTTGTATGAAAATTCCTCAAGGAATTTCAGGACATCCTAGCCGAGGACTTCCTCCTGTTCCTTGAGAATATTTTATACAAGCCGTTTTTGAGGAGATATCAGCAGAGGAAAATCTCGACTTGAGGAAATTTCAAGTTGAGATGTTTTATACAAGTGGGGGCTGAGCTACAACAAGTACATGATCTATTTTGACGAAAAACATGATTCCTTTTACCGACTTCAATATCTAAATTATGTGACGACAATCTGAAACAAGTAATAAGACGTTTGTACTTTGTTTCTAAAGATTTACATAAATAAAATTGGAGGCAAAAATTGTCAACAAGGTGTTGATACAAAAAAACCTTAGGTGACCTTGATATATTTGCTAACATATTCTGTCCACAATTGTCAAAAAATCTTTGTTCTATCATTTCAAAGGCAACGTTAACAGGTAAATTGTTTTCAAACACATATTCCAACCCAAGACTAGATAATTCCTGTTTGATATTAGCAATCCAGGCATCGTTTAGATTAACACACTCATCATCACATGATTTTAATGTAGTTTTCACTCTGTTTCACTTCAACCAGAATGTTAAAATCCTTAATTTTCTATGTATTATCAAATGAAATATACCAAGTTTACAATAAACCAGATCGTTGAAGGTGTTTTTCCGAGCTCCTGACAACTGATATGTACTTTTTCAACATCGGGTGATTTGTGAAATCTCCACATCTCAGAAGCATAACATAAAATGCTTGTTACATACGAGTCAAAAACAGCACACTGGGTTTCAATATTTAAACAATGGTTACGCAATTTTGACATCAAAGAAAACAAAGCTTTTCTACCTTGAGGTGCAACATGATTTTGAGTTTTAAGAAATTTGCCATTGTAGTTAAACAGCATTCCTAGATAGTTGAATTCCTTCACTATATCTAAATGTTGATTGTTAAAATACCACACCTCATTACTTTTAAGTTTCCCACCATTTCTGAAAACAACCATTTTAGATTTGTCAGTTTTTACTTCTAGGTCCCACTCCTTTGTATAATTATATAAACAATTTAGCATTGATTGCAATCCTTCCGGACTTTCCGACATAAGAACCATATCGTCGGCGTACATAAGTAGAGAAATATTGATCAGTTGCAGTTCAAGACTTGGACAATTATTACTTAATTTCAATATCATTAGCATACACAGAAAATAAAATCGGAGACAAAACTCCCTGCAAAAGACCAGCACCATTACAGAAGTGTTCACTTAAAACTCCATTAAACTTTACACAAGATTTGACTTTACAATATAAAGAATTCAAAATTTGAAGGAATTTACCGCGGATTCCAGTTTTAATAAGTTTACTCCACAATTCTGCCAGTAGAATCAAAAGCTTCGCGGAAATCAATAAAACAACAATAGAGCGTCCTTTTGTTTTTTATGTCCTATTTGTAGGACAAAAATAGCATCAACAGTCGATAGACCAGATCCAAACTCAGCATCAGTTGAAACATTTTATTCTTTCTCCCAAGATAAAATTCTGTTATTCAAAATGTTTGTAAAAAGCTTTCCAAAACAACTAATGAGAGAAATACCCCGATAGTTGTTAGGGTCATTAATATCACCTTTCTTGCAAATTGGAACAATGCAAGCTTCTGACCAGGATTCTGGGAAGAACCCGGATCTAAAATAGAATTGAATAAATTGTATAGACATGGCATAAGACTATCTTTGCCTTTGACAAAAAGTTCATTTACAATAAGATCTTCACTACAGCTTTTATTAGCTTTCAAACTAGTAATAGCCTTTGAGATTTCATCTCTAGTAATAACCTTGTCGAGTTCATCCTATACAGATGATCATAGTATTCTTTATTAACATTTGAGTTTACATCAGTTACGTCATATGTACAAAAAATCTAAAATACGTGAAAAAATTTTCATTTGTTAAACTTGTAGATACGTTTTCCATTCGTCTCTTTTCGGAGAAAAGTTTACATGTCACCTTCATGCCGTCTATACTGAATGATAGATTCGCAGAATGACATGTAACGTGGGAGTTTCTAAGATGCAAACATATGCAGCTATTGAGGACATACCACGTCGCGCATGCGCAGATTTCTAGCTCCAGGTGAACAAATGTTTATTATAGATGATATATTGGCATATCAACAAAATATTAATATATATATATATATATAGATAAACATCCCAAATGTATGCCACTGGTCAGCAAACTTAACATTTCTTCGTTTCAATTAAAGTTTTTTAAATGTTTAGATGAAAATTAGTTGCGTCATTTTTTAGTTGAAACTTACACATGAATCTCCTTCATAGTCTTATGAAATTTTGAACAAAACGATTATTTTGACTTCAATGTGAAATAAAAGCATTGTTATGTATAAACCTCCAAATGTATGCCTTTCACTATCAAGTATAGTAACTTATAAACACATTGATATAGGTTTGACAAACTATAATTAAAAATCAGTTGTGTCATTTTTAGGTGAATATGACACATAACTCCAGTTCACATTCCCAACGCTGTACAGGTAAACACGACATCAATGTACGTGTATCGATGAGTCATTAAGACGGACTGCTGTTTATAGTAAATACACATATTGTTTTCTTATCAAAGTACATTTGATATCTACGAAATAAAGAATTTCATATGTAAATAACGAAATTAAAAATAAAATATAAACACATTTCCACATAGCGGCAAAGCTATAATCAAAACATGGCGCTCAGTATGTGACTAAACGCTACAGGTACTTTTCTCTTTACATTATAATGATTTAAGAAATATGTCAAAGTGGAATGCTAAATCATCCAACATAATGGTTTTATTTATTTATATATGTTTTAGTACTAAATGAAATCAAACTTAATCATTCAGTATTTTCATCAAATAAAGTTGATTTATTTAGTTTAATATATTAATCATGTGAAGATTGTGAGAAACACAGGTAAATTTCTGGTAATCATAAAGGTAAGAGAAGGACAGCTTATATGAAACAAAATATAGTTGCCTTGCCATTGTTTCCTAAAACAACACTATCCCGTTGTTTAAAAATGGTGGCGCTCGGAGAATACCCCCTCTATACATTCCGTTCGTACATATACAATGTAATTTCAAAGGCAGATGTACAGTGTACCACTGTCATTTGTAACCAATGGTGTGAATATATACTGACCGTTCACTTACAGGAAATAAAACAGTAATGACGATCCATGTGAATATTGTTCAAGAAGTGTACAATGTATATACTATGTTGACACTGATACTTACATGTACAAGCGTTATTGAAGAAGTGTACAATGTATATACTATGTTGACGTTGATACTAACATGTACAAGCGTTATTGAAGAAGTGTACAATGTATATACTATGTTGACGTTGATACTTACATGTACAAGCGTTATTGAAGAAGTATACAATGTATATACTATGTTGACACTGATACTTACATGTACTAGCGTTATTGAAGAAGTGTACAATGTATATACTATGTTGACGTTGATACTTACATGTACAAGCGTTATTGAAGAAGTGTACAATGTATATACTATGTTGACGTTGATACTAACATGTACAAGCGTTATTGAAGAAGTGTACAATGTATATACTATGTTGACGTTGATACTTACATGCTTTAATATACTTTAGGACATTTTAAAGAGATAGGATGAGACAACACTAGATGTAAGGGCTATTCGATTAGATTTTCAGAAAAAAAAGTATATGGAAGTGATTACGTACAAATCACGGCTAATGCTCTGTTGTCGGTCTGCTTTGTTTTTTTCCATTGTTTCTCAGTCAATATCCATGTTTCTATAACTAATTTGTATAACCAGTTCCGTGTTAATTTCTATTGGACGAAGTGATCCTTAGGTAATGGCCGTAGTGACATTGTTGTAGGCTACTGTACAAAGTTATACAGCACATCTTCTCATTCGAAATTTACTCCAGGTCTCATTTTAATGCAGTTACAGTCAAGTGACCAGGCATTTGTACGTATACCTATATATAGGACGATATTGAGTTACTTCAGTCAGATCTTCTATATTGAAAAACCCATTATACACCATGACTATGTGTATCCCCTCCCATGGACACAGAGTAATTATTTTCTCACAATATTGCCAATGATGTGCTTTGATAATCTTTTTAAGATCAGACTTCTCGAACTTTGAAAAAAGTGATGTTCGATAAAATATATTTGTTAAAAATATTAACAAATTATCCAGGCAGTACCAAACTAAAGTAATCCTGTGGACAACTCCGAGTATTTTCTGAAACCTGTCTCATGAATATACATCCACCCTTACTCTTTGATTGCAGATACCGGTTAACACCGACCCCCTACATAAGCACCCAACAATGCATTGAGATTTTCATGTAGCTTACTCGGGATACCTGAAGGCGTTTGTCATTTTCCGCTGCTATGCTAGGTAAATAGTGCGTGCAACTACAAGTATATGACTGGGACAATTACTTCCCTTGTGTCGTAGCTCTTCGTCTACTTTCGTTTCAGGGTTTAGGATACGCGTGCTGTCTTGGGTTGTGTAATCACTTTACACTCAGATCTAAATGTCCATAGTTGTGATGGACAAAGAAGTGGAAGATCAAACAAGCGGTGGGTTTAGTCCTGTACTGATGCCAAAGCTCTTGTTTTTACGTTAAGTTGGTGTGATGCAAACGCACGTGAACAGGTCGGGGAATTAATTTGTGTTAAAATGGGCGAAATCCCTTTAAACTTACCTTATTTTCCATTTTTAAGGACAGGCGTGTGTTATGATCACATATATGTTATGGACGCAAGCTGCGAGTCTATATATCTTAACCTAATCATTACATAAAACAGATTTTACATTATAGTTTGATAGAACGTAACGGTACCCAGTATTATATGTGTAGGAGCAAGTACAGGTTGTGTGAACAATTACATGACCCTGTAGGAAAGCTGCAGACATTTCACCATAGACCTGTCCATAAATAGCCATTAGGTCCCTTGATTTTGTATTGTAAAGCAATATATAGCAACAAAAATACAACAATTTGTATACAAAGGCAGAATTAGCATTAATTTTGTCAATAGACAGTGACGTGCCATAAGTCTTTCACATTCTGTTATTTTACTATATATTCTTTCTATTTCTGACCTGTTTCAATGAATCTGTTTTGCTAATCATTAAAACGACACATATTTGAGTAAGAAATAAATGTTTACAAACTAATTTTCAAAAAACCAAATAATACTAGAAAGCAGATTGAACTGTAAACATGCCATAGCTAGATTTACTGCCATGATATTCACAGTTACCAAAGAGCATCACCAATCAGGGAGGAAGGCAGGAAATCTTTGAGAAATATCAACACAATCTACATCACAGAATATAATAATTTTCTCCATTTCCATCGTCTATTCTGTAAGGCCCCTTTTCTGAGTCGCTGGCTCATTTACCTCAAGTTTCAGAAATTATTCATTTGATACTTATAGATCATTAGATTTTGAAGATTTCATCTTGATCAGAATATTTTGGGAATTGAACTTCAATGTTAAATAATTTCATTTGGGAATGGGACCCATTATCAGGCCTGAACATACATATTTGGTTGGTTTAACGTGGATCTGCCATTTTGTGAGAATACTTAGAATACTTTTAAAATGTGTTGTAAGACTGCCCGGACACAGAGGTGTCGGAGATCAGAGGATAGTGATCCTGGGTAATGAGAAGATATGTTGATCACTAATAGATATTCTGACACGTACTACACCTTTACTGTTATGTGTAACCTATGATTTTGAGTTTGTGGTATTTCAGCTATCATCCAACAGCTAACTTTCATGTTGTGTGGTTGACTGTTATGACCATGTGTCAAAGCACTTAATTGGGCGACTGCTCCATTGTGCTTTCCGATCTTGTTACATTTGAAGGCAGGAAACCAGCCTTCACCCAGGAGGGTGACCTCAGACAGTATGAAAATCAAAATGTTCCTGGAGACTTGTTACAGGGAACTACAAAGTGTCAGAGGACAAAGGTGTCTACATTACAACAGCTGTGTATGCTGTGGATGCCTCAGTCATATTTCTTGTATATGTACACATTTTATTCATTATTAGAAAGTGATGAAATATTTGTGTAAAATCATTGAACATATTCATTGCAGAAGCAAATGTCACAAAACTATCAGACGCCCAGCGTGCCCGGATTGAGAGAAATCGTCAGAGGGCTTTGATGCTAAAACAGACCCGGTTGTCAACAAGACCATACACAACAGACAGACCAGGACCATCAGGGTAACATGTCTCCTGTCATATAGTAAATAAGTCAAGTGACTAATTCATAGCACTATGAACGACAGACCAGGACCGTCAGAGTAACATCTTCTAATTCATAGCACTATGAATGACAGACCAGGACCGTCAGAGTAAAATCTTCTAATTCATAGCACTATGAACGACAGACCAGGACCATCAGAGTAACGTCTTCTGTCAAATTAGTGAAAAAATCAATTGATTAATTCATAGCACTATGAACGACAGACCAGGACCATCAGAGTAACGTCTTCTGTCAAATTAGTGAAAAAATCAATTGATTAATTCATAGCACTATGAACGACAGACCAGGACCATCAGAGTAACGTCTTCTGTCAAATTAATGAAGAAATCAATTGATTAATTCATAGCACAATAAACGACAGACCAGGACCATCGGAGTAACGTCTTCTGTCAAATTAGTAAAGAAAATTAATGTGATAATGAAAGTTTTTGTTTAATACTACATGTGTTGTCATCACTCACCTGAAGGTTTACCCTGTGTATTGTACATTTCGTCCTTTTACTGAATTCCATTACAAAATAAACAACCAACAATGTATTATCGTCTATCCCTGTCATTCTATTATTTCTTAATCATATTTACAGTCGGTTCTACAAATTTATATTGTGAATTCTATCATTTTCTCTGAATTTTCAGACAAAAAGTAAAAGCGCCAACAAAGATAATTGACACTGGTGCTGGATTCTTTCTAGAGGAGGAAGAAGAGAAAACTCGAGCTAAAGTCCAGCATGAGTTAGGTAAACAAACATCACTTATTCATCAATTTGCAATTTAATGCTTTAGTTTCACAGATAGATGTTTACTGTTTACTCAACAATTTTATATGTAATGAAGAGGTTATAGTTTTTTATGAGTAACACTTGTATTTCATCAGTTGGAATCAAGACTTTGATATTATTCTCTAGTCACCTGTCATTCATCAAGAAATAACGAGCATTCTATTTATAACATTTCATGGATGCCAGTTTGAATTTGTCGTTCAGTCTTTTTCTGTTATCATTACTCTGACAAATAAAATATCAATGGTTTTGTATGTTAGACAGAAGTCTTCAAAAAATTGTTATATAGTCAGTAAATTCAAGTCCAATTGCAAGGACTGGTATACAGCTTTTATTCACATCAACTTGTATACAGGTATAGGTATATACAGCTATAGATATATACAGCTATAGGTATATACAGCTATAGGTATATACAGCTATTTGTATATACATTTATAGATAAATACAGCTATAGATATACAGCTATAGATATATACAGCTATAGGTATATACAGCTATATGTATATACAGCTATAGATATATACAGCTATAGGTATATACAGCTATAGGTATATAGGTATATACAGCTATAGATATATACAGCTATATGTATATACAGCTATAGATATATACAGCTATAGATATATACAGCTATAGGTATATAGGTATATACAGCTATAGGTATATACAGCTATAGATATATACAGCTATATGTATATACAGCTATAGGTATATACAGCTATTTGTATATACATTTATAGATAAATACAGCTATAGGTATATACAGCTATAGGTATATACAGCTATAGATATATACAACTATAGGTATATACAGCTATAGGTATATACAGCTATAGGTATATACAGCTATTTGTATATACATTTATAGATAAATACAGCTATTTGTATATACATTTATAGATAAATACAGCTATAGGTATATACAGCTATAGGTATATAAAGCTATAGGTATATACAGCTATATGTATATACAGCTATAGGTATATACAGCTATTTGTATATACATTTATAGATAAATACAGCTATAGGTATATAAAGCTATAGGTATATACAGCTATAGATATATACAGCTATATACAGCTATAGGTATATACAGCTATAGATATATACGGCTATATGTATATACAGCTATAGATATATACAGCTATAGATATATACAGCTATAGGTATATACAGCTATATGTATATACAGCTATAGGTATATACAGCTATTTGTATATACATTTATAGATAAATACAGCTATAGGTATATACAGCTATAGATATATACAGCTATAGGTATATACAGCTATAGATACATACAGCTATATACAGCTATAGGTATATACAGCTATAGATATATACAGCTATAGGTATATACAGCTATAGATATATACAGCACATTCTACTTGAAGGTGTTGTCTTACTAATGCTTGTTTGTGTCAAGGCAATGTGAGGAGACGACCTGCATCCCCTAATGTAATGCAGTGATCTGATCTGAATTTTGTTTAGAACTTTTTGCACTTGTTATCATTAAATTGTAGTATATGTACCTGTATTCATGCCAGTATGAAGGATTGCCCCAGACTATAATACATATTCTTACAGGTCCTGTGATTGGTGTAGACAACCTCCTTTGTGAAGGCTGTGATAAGGAGTTCATGGACTCATACTTACATACACATTTTGATGTCTCCATCTGTGATAAGTGCAAGTAAGGCCAAGCTAAAAAAGGATAGGTCACTTTTCAGTAAACCACAAAAAAATACGGAAAGTAAGATCAGATAATAGGGCAAAGGAATAGATACAAGATTAATTAGATTGGGATGAGTAAGGGGAGACAACTTTAAGTCTAATCACTAAATATCATTATCTAACTATAGAAATTATCTATATAAAATCTATGAAGTCAGTTCAGAAGATGAAGTTCAATGTTTGTAATAAAAAAAAAACGGTCAAAATCTTCCAATCCATCTATCACAATTTTCTATTTCTAATGATACAACATAGATATTTTTCATTGCTTGTTTTAAGAAATGTTGTAAGGAAGAGAGATAATATCAATGACAAGGTGTTGTAAGGGAGAGAGATTATAGAAATGACAAGATGTTATAAGGGAGAGAGATTATAGAAATGACAAGATGTTGTAAGGGAGAAAGATTATAGAAGTGACAAGATGTTGTAAGGGAGAGAGATTATAGAAATGACAAGATGTTGTAAGGGAGAAAGATTATAGAAGTGACAAGATGTTGTAAGGGACAGGAGGGTGAGATTATAGAAATGACAAGATGTTGTAAGGGAGAGAGATTATAGAAATGACAAGATTTTGTAAGGGAGAAAGATTATAGAAGTGACAAGATGTTGTAAGGGAGAGAGATTATAGAAGTGACAAAATGTTGTAAGGGAGAGAGATTTTAGAAATGACAAAATGTTGTAAGGGAGAGAGATTTTAGAAATGACAAAATGTTGTAACGGAGAGAGATTTTAGAAATGACAAGATGTTGAAAGGGAGAGAGATTATAGAAATGACAAGATGTTGTAAGGGAGAGAGATTATAGAAATGACAAGATGTTGTAAGGGAGAGATATTATAGAAATGACAAGGTGTTGTAAGGGAGAGAGATTATAGAAATGACAAGATGTTGTAAGGGAGAGAGATTATAGAAATGACAAGATGTTGTAAGGGAGAGAGATTATAGAAATGACAAGATGTTGTAAGGGAGAGAGATTATAGAAATGACAAGATGTTGTAAGGGAGAGAGATTATAGAAACGACAAGATGTTGTAAGGGAGAGAGATTATAGAAATGACAAGGTGTTGTAAGGGAGAGAGATTATAGAAATGACAAGGTGTTGTAAGGGAGAGAGATTATAGAAATGACAAGATGTTGTAAGGGAGAGAGATTATAGAAATGACAAGATGTTGTAAGGGAGAGAGATTATAGAAATGACAAGATGTTGTAAGGGAGAGAGATTATAGAAATGACAAGATGTTGTAAGGGAGAGAGATTATAGAAATGACAAGATGTTGTAAGGGAGAGAGATTATAGAAATGACAAGATGTTGTAAGGGAGAGAGATTATAGAAATGACAAGATGTTGTAAGGGAGAGAGATTATAGAAATGACAAGATGTTGTAAGGGAGAGAGATTATAGAAATGACAAGATGTTGTAAGGGAGAGAGATTATAGAAATGACAAGATGTTGTAAGGGAGAGAGATTATAGAAATGACAAGATGTTGTAAGGGAGAGACAGAGAGATTATAGAAATGACAAGATGTTGTAAGGGAGAGAGATAATAGACTCAATAGTCTCAAAAACTTAAATAATGCTGATATCAAAGTGTGCTTTATCAAGTACTTTAACTTGGTGGAATGCTATTATAATCATCATTGCTGTGGGTATCAATAAGTTCTTGTTTTTGCTGCTTTCAATAATTAAGAAAGAATGGAGCCTCAAAACATTAGAAATAGAAGAGAAAATCATAGCCCATTTCATGATCTCAAAGAAAATTGTCTTTTTCTTCAAACTTCCATAGAAATAATAATTATTTTTCTTGGTTGAAACTTTTTACTTTTTCTGTCACAGAGAAAACCAAGATGACAACCCCCTCATCACTAAGACAGATGCCAAGAACAGGTATCTCCTCAAAGATGCTGACTTTGACCGTCGAGAACCTCCTTTGAAGTTTATTGTTCGCAAAAACCCACGTCATAACAGCTGGGGAGATATGAAACTGTTTTATGAACCTCAGGTGGGTATCTATGGGAGTCTGAACGAAGGGCGGTAACTCCTGCAGTCTTATATTAATCTTATTCCCTATCTAATCTTCTTCTAAGCAAACAAATGTGCCACTGTATGTCCTTCAGCATTCCTCCTTGCATTTGTTGGTTCATTTGTGGAAGACTTGAGTACCTCTATATCTCAATAGTTTCAACTAAAAAAAAATTGATGAAATGTTTCTCTCCCTGTTTTAACATGAAAGTCTGAACACTTCTGTAGCTGGATTTCAAAGTCTGAACACTTCTGTAGCTATGTTTCAAAGTCTGAACACTTCTGTAGCTATGTTTCAAAGTCTGAACACTTCTGTAGCTATGTTTCAAAGTCTGAACACTTCTGTAGCTATGTTTCAAAGTCTGAACACTTCTGTAGCTATGTTTCAAAGTCTGAACACTTCTGTAGCTATGTTTCAAAGTCTGAACACTTCTGTAGCTATGTTTCAAAGTCTGAACACTTCTGTAGCTATGTTTCAAAGTCTGAACACTTCTGTAGCTATTTTTCGAAATTGATTATTTCTTACTGTTTTAATTGAATCACACCAGGTATATCAACGAGCTATTGAGGTATGGGGTAGTGAAGAAAGTATTGAAGAAGCTCACGAAAAACGGGCAGAAAATCGAGAAAAATCAAAACAGAAAAGATTTGATAAGAAAGTAAAAGGTAAGTAAAACATTTCAAATGTTACTTAAAATAAAAGCAGCTAGGTGTGAGACCCACAGTTTGTACACATGGGATCTTAAACATGTTTCAATTTCTTGAGATTTTATAATACAAAACCTAGTTTTTAGCCCACCATCATCAAATGGTGGGCTTTCAAATCACTCTGCATCCGTCATCCATCCATCCGTCATCCATCCATCCGTTATCCATCCATCCGTCATCCATCCATCCGTTATCCATCCATCCGTCATCCATCCATCCGTCATCCATCCGTCTGTTATCCATCTGTCCGTTATCCATCTGTCCGTTATCCATCTGTCCGTCTGTAAACAATTTTTGTTATAGCTATATCTTGAGAAGTACTAGATGGATCTCTCTCAAATTTCATATATAGGTTCTCCTTGGTCTCTAGTTGTGCCCTTGTAAGTTTGTTATCACTATTTCTTGAGAACTACATCATAGATCTTTCTCAACTTTCATGTGTATGCTTTCCTTGATCCCTAGTTGTGCCTGTTTGGGACTGATCAGAAAAACAAAATGGCCAACAGGCAGCCATCTTAGATTTTGCCTAGTAAAGATTGGTATTGCTATTTCTTAAGAAGTACTGAATGGATATCTCTCAAATTTCATACCTATGTTCCCTTTTGTCTCTCTTTGTGCACATTTGATTTTGGGACTGATCAGAAGAAACAAAATGGCTTCCAGGTGGCTAGTTTAGATTTGGCAGGTGAAGATTATCATCACTATTTCTGCAAAGAAATATTCAAATGTGTTATCATTAAGAACAAAAACAGAGACGAGAAAAGAAGGGAAAAGATCCAACTTTAAAAGAGCTTGTGAAGATAAAAAAATGGTGGGTACCAAGATCCCTCTAGGATATCGTGTTATTTTTCAGACTTGGCGAGCAAAAAATATACTTCAAGGTGAGTTTCATAAAATATCATAAGAGTGGAAATCAAATATGTTACAAATTTATCTCATATCTGAGAAAAGTTTGACAGGTTTCGAAGTCAAAATATGAGGACAAACCCAAACAGAGGCAGTCTTTTTTGTTGTGCTATTTTCAGTTTTGATGAGATAGCATCATTGTCCATATTATGACATCACAATAAATTGCTGAGGGTGCAGCAAATACTCCAGGATACACTAGGGGTACGTAGAAATATTACATAATCAAATAACAGTTGGATTATTTTATGTAAAGAAAAAAAACCAATACAATATGAATGCTTTGGTTTCCATGTTTGGTTCGTCATCGTTTAATAGCCAGGATCATTTGCTCTATGTGTCATGGCTTGTAAAAGCTGATTTAACCATAGGAGTTATTGCTGTGTTTGAATGAGTGAAGACAACTATGTGTACTGACAAGCCAGAGAGTCCTGACATCATTTGTGACTGATAGTTCAGGACGTAAAGCAGCTGTTATGTGGCACTCATTCGCACATTATCATGCTACCCAAAAGGATTGCATAAAGTAGCAGCTTTGTCCATCCTTGCGTCATGTCCGTCCATCTGTCCTTTCATCCCTCCATAATAAGTACAGGAAAGTATGTACTAGTGTACTATAAACATTTAATAGTAACAGGAAAAGTACGGGAAAGTATGTACTAGTGTACCATCAACATGTACCTGTAATAGTAACAGGAAAAGTATGGGAAAGTATGTACTAGTGTACCATCAACATGTACCTGTAATAGTAACTGGAAAAGTATGGGAAAGTATGTACTAGTGTACCATCAACATGTACCTGTAATAGTAACAGGAAAAGTACGGGAAAGTATGTACTAGTGTACCATCAACTTGTACCTGTAATAGTAACAGGAAAAGTACGGGAAAGTACGTACTAGTGTACCATCAACATGTAATAGTAACAGGAAAAGTATGGTAAAGTATGTACTAGTGTACCATCAACATGTAATAGTAACAGGAAAAGTACGGGAAAGTATGTACTAGTGTACCATCAACATGTAATAGTAACAGGAAAAGTATGGTAAAGTATGTACTAGTGTACCATCAACATGTAATAGTAACAGGAAAAGTACGGAAAAGTATGTACTAGTGTACCATCAACATGTAATAGTAACAGGAAAAGTATGGTAAAGTATGTACTAGTGTACCATCAACATGTAATAGTAACAGGAAAAGTACGGGAAAGTATGTACTAGTGTACCATCAACATGTACCTGTAATAGTTACAGGAAAAGTACGGGAAAGTATGTACTAGTGTACCATCAACATGTACCTGTAATAGTAACAGGAAAAGTACGGGAAAGTATGTACTAGTGTACCATCAACATGTACCTGTAATAGTAACAGGAAAAGTACTGGAAAGTATGTACTAGTGTACCATCAACATGTACCTGTAATAGTAACAGGAAAAGTACGGGAAAGTATGTACTAGTGTACCATCAACATGTACCTGTAATAGTAACAGGAAAAGTACGGGAAAGTATGTACTAGTGTACCATCAACATGTACCTGTAATAGTAACAGGAAAAGTACGGAAAAGTATGTACTAGTGTACCATCAACATGTACCTGTAATAGTAACAGGAAAAGTACGGGAAAGTATGTACTAGTGTACCATCAACATGTAATAGTAAAAGGAAAAGTACGTGAAAGTATGTACTAGTTTACCATCAACATGTACCTGTAATAGTTACAGGAAAAGTACGGGAAAGTATTTACTAGTGTACTATAAACATGTAATAGTAACAGGAAAAGTACGGGAAAGTATGTACTAGTGTACCATCAACATGTACCTGTAATAGTAACAGGAAAAGTATGGGAAAGTATGTACAAGTGTACCATCAACATGTACCTGTAATAGTAACAGGAAAAGTACGGGAAAGTACGTACTAGTGTACCATCAACATGTAATAGTAACAGGAAAAGTATGGTAAAGTATGTACTAGTGTACCATCAACATGTAATAGTAACAGGAAAAGTACGGAAAAGTATGTACTAGTGTACCATCAACATGTACCTGTAATAGTAACAGGAAAAGTACGGGAAAGTATGTACTAGTGTACCATCAACATGTACCTGTAATAGTAACAGGAAAAGTATGGGAAAGTATGTACTAGTGTACCATCAACATGTACCTGTAATAGTAACAGGAAAAGTATGGGAAAGTATGTACTAGTGTACCATCAACATGTAATAGTAACAGGAAAAGTATGGGAAAGTATGTACTAGTGTACCATCAACATGTACCAGTAATAGTAACAGGAAAAGTACGGGAAAGTATCTACTAGTGTACTATCAACATGTACCTGTAATAGTAACAGGAAAAGTACGGGAAAGTATGTACTAGTGTACCATCAACATGTACCTGTAATAGTAGCAGGAAAAGTACGGGAAAGTATGTACTAGTGTACCATCAACATGTACCTGTAATAGTAACAGGAAAAATACGGGAAAGTATGTACTAGTGTACCATCAACATGTACCTGTAATAGTAACAGGAAAAGTACGGGAAAGTATGTACTAGTGTACCATCAACATGTACCTGTAATAGTAATAGGAAAAGTACGGGAAAGTATGTACTAGTGTACCATCAACATGTACCTGTAATAGTAACAGGAAAAGTATGGGAAAGTATGTACTAGTGTACCATCAACATGTACCTGTAATAGTAACAGGGAAAGTATGTACTAGTGTACCATCAACATGTACCTGTAATAGTAACAGGAAAAATACGGGAAAGTATGTACTAGTGTACCATCAACATGTACCTGTAATAGTAACAGGAAAAGTACGGGAAAGTATGTACTAGTGTACCATCAACATGTACCTGTAATAGTAACAGGAAAAGTACGGGAAAGTATGTACTAGTGTACCATCAACATGTACCTGTAATAGTAACAGGGAAAGTATGTACTAGTGTACCATCAACATGTACCTGTAATAGTAACAGGAAAAGTACGGGAAAGTATGTACTAGTGTACCATCAACATGTAATAGTAACAGGAAAAGTACGGGAAAGTATGTACTAGTGTACCATCAACATGTACCTGTAATAGTAACAGGAAAAGTATGGGAAAGTATGTACTAGTGTACCATCAACATGTACCTGTAATAGTAACAGGAAAAGTACGGGAAAGTATGTACTAGTGTACCATCAACATGTACCTGTAATAGTAACAGGAAAAGTACGGGAAAGTATGTACTAGTGTACCATCAACATGTACCTGTAATAGTAACAGGAAAAGTACGGGAAAGTATGTACTAGTGTACCATCAACTTGTACCTGTAATAGTAACAGGAAAAGTATGGGAAAGTACGTACTAGTGTACCATCAACATGTAATAGTAACAGGAAAAGTATGGTAAAGTATGTACTAGTGTACCATCAACATGTAATAGTAACAGGAAAAGTACGGAAAAGTATGTACTAGTGTACCATCAACATGTACCTGTAATAGTAACAGGAAAAGTACAGGAAAGTATGTACTAGTGTACCATCAACATGTACCTGTAATAGTAACAGGAAAAGTATGGGAAAATATGTACTAGTGTACCATCAACATGTACCTGTAATAGTAACAGGAAAAGTATGGGAAAGTATGTACTAGTGAACCATCAACATGTACCTGTAATAGTAACAGGAAAAGTATGGGAAAGTATGTACTAGTGTACCATCAACATGTACCTGTAATAGTAACTGGAAAAGTACGGGAAAGTATGTACTAGTGTACCATCAACATGTAATAGTAACAGGAAAAGTACGGGAAAGTATGTACTAGTGTACCATCAACATGTACCTGTAATAGTAACAGGAAAAGTACGGGAAAGTATGTACTAGTGTACCATCAACATGTGATAGTAACAGGAAAAGTACGGGAAAGTATGTACTAGTGTACCATCAACATGTACCTGTAATAGTAACAGGAAAAGTATGGGAAAGTATGTACTAGTGTACCATCAACATGTAATAGTACCAGGAAAAGTACGGGAAAGTATGTACTAGTGTACCATCAACATGTACCTGTAATAGTAACAGGAAAAGTACGGGAAAGTATGTACTAGTGTACCATCAACATGTACCAGTAATAGTAACAGGAAAAGTACTTATTTATTGTCTGTGCTTATCTTACAGAACTACGACACGCCGTACGTAGCAGTCTGGTTAAGAAAGACCGAGGACCACACATACACGAGTTCGGTGACGAAGTTTACAATGAGGCTGAAGATGAGTACAGTAAGACATGTCAGACGTGCGGTCATGTGTCCACATATGAAAAAATGTAGGCAATAGGAACAAGTGACATTAAAAAATCTCAGGTATACAAACTCATTAAAACTGGACCACTTAGTGTAAATATTGTGAAAATACTAAGTATATGTATATCTACCTCACATTTCCAATACAAAATGGTACAGACCTGTTTGTGTATGATTGCGTTGCCAAGGAAATTAAGTCTGGAATTTCTTGGCTATGGGAATTGGTGCTGTAGATCATGAGTCCAAGACCTGGACAGGGCACAAGTAAACAAATTGTCATCCTTTATTTTATTGTGTTACAAATGTCTAAATATCAACACAATGCACCATATACAGTAATGTACCTGTGGTAGTTGTATCTAAGTTTGATATATACATGTATGTATATTTTGTCATCTGGTTGTGCCAGGCCATAAGCTGTAAATATATACAGATATTTGGTTATAGACAGTAATTAATATGTCTAAATATCATACTGTACTTTAGGGAAAGGCTTTTTAGCCATGGTGATTGAAATCTTTTGAGGAACAGAATCTGACATTTTTTACTGGAAGCATTCATTGATAAGGCTGAATAAAAATGTGTTGGTGCTGATTTTATAAATGATATTATTCAAATATTATCAGGTAATCTTTTTACATTTTACTTCAATTGAAGACCTCTTGTCATATTTATGGACCCTTCCAACCCTGGATACTGAATACTGACTGTTGACCGTCCAGATGAAATTATGGAAGAGGTCAAAAGACTTATGCCGGGGTGAAGAAATAAAGATGATTTGACAATTACAACATGTATGAAACAATATGGTTAGCCTTGTCTTTCTCAGTTCCAAACACAAAGGAATTAGAGACACCTTGTGTGGTGTCTGGAAGCAGCTGAAAGGGTTATAGGAAACACAAACACTAGTTAATATATACATCTATTTATGATGTTCACTGAAAAGATCAATCTACAGATCACAACATTGTATCAATGTGATTTTGAAAAGAAATTTATTTGGTGTGAAAATGTTTTTATTGTCAATAAAAAGACAAAAATATGTAGCTGTGAATATTGGTATATATTTATTTTGTTGAGGACAAAAATAAATACATAGAAACTTTAGGAACAAATAAAATTTTCCAAAAGCACTACAATGTCTTATAAATATTTCATCAAGAACTGTATACACTTCACTTTATCATATGTGATACACTTCACTTTATCATGTGTGTTACACTTCACTTTATCATATGTGATACACTTCACTTTATCATATGTGTTACACTTCACTTTATCATGTGATACACTTCACTTTATCATATGTGATACACTTCACTTTATCATATGTGATACACTTCACTTTATCATATGTGATACACTTCACTTTATCATATGTGATACACTTCACTTTATCATATGTGATACACTTCACTTTATCATGTGTGATACACTTCACTTTATCATGTGTGATACACTTCACTTTATCATGTGTGATACACTTCACTTTATCATATGTGATACACTTCACTTTATCATGTGTGATACACTTCACTTTATCATGTGTGATACACTTCACTTTATCATATGTGATACACTTCACTTTATCATGTGTGATACACTTCACTTTATCATATGTGATACACTTCACTTTATCATATGTGTTGACCTCTCTACCAAGGAGTAGACACCATGTTAACATATCTACTGAGGAGTAGACACCATGTTAACATACAACATATCTATTGAAGAGTAGACATCATGTTAACATATCTACTGAGGAGTAGACACCATGTTAACATATCTACTGAGGAGTAGACACCATGTTAACTTACAACATATCTACTTAGGAGTAGACATCATGTTAACATATCTACTTAGGAGTAGACACCATGTTAACATATCTACTGAGGAGTAGACACCATGTTAACATATCTACTTAGGAGTAGACACCATGTTAACATACAACATATCTACTTAGGAGTAGACATCATGTTAACATATCTACTGAGGAGTAGACACCATGTTAACATATCTACTGAGGAGTAGACACCATGTTAACATATCTACTTAGGAGTAGACATCATGTTAACATACAACATATCTACTAAGGAGTTGACACCATGTTAACATACAACATATCTTCTGAGGAGTAGACGCCATGTTAACATACAACATATCTACTTAGGAGTAGACATCATGTTAACATACAACATATCTACTAAGGAGTAGACACCATGTTAACATATCTACTGAGGAGTAGACACCATGTTAACATATCTACTGAGGAGTAGACACCATGTTAATATATCTACTGAGGAGTAGACACCATGTTAACATATCTACTGACGAGTAGACATCATGTTAACATACAACTTATCTACTTAGGTGTAGACACCATGTTAACATACAACATATCTACTGAGGAGTAGACACCATGTTAACATATCTACTGAGGAGTAGACATCATGTTAACATATCTACTGAGGAGTAGACACCATGTTAACATATCTACTGACAAGTAGACATCATGTTAACATACAACATATCTACTGAGGAGTAGACACCATGTTAACATATCTACTAAGGTGTAGACACCATGTTAACATACAACATATCTACTGAGGAGTAGACACCATGTTAACATATCTACTGAGGAGTAGACACCATGTTAACATATCTACTGAGGAGTAGACACCATGTTAACATATCTACTGAGGAGTAGACACCATGTTAACATACAGCATATCTACTGAGGAGTAGACATCATGTTAACATATCTACTGAGGAGTAGACACCATGTTAACATATCTACTGAGGAGTAGATACCATGTTAACATACAACATATCTATTGAAGAGTAGACGTCATGTTAACATACAACATATCTACTGAGGAGTAGACACCATGTTAACATATCTACTGAGGAGTAGACACCATGTTAACATACAGCATATCTACTGAGGAGTAGACACCATGTTAACATACAACATATCTACTGAGGAGTAGACACCATGTTAACATATCTACTGAGGAGTAGACACCATGTTAACATACAGCATATCTACTGAGGAGTAGACACCATGTTAACATATCTACAGAGGAGTAGACACCATATTAACATACAACATATCTATTGAAGAGTAGACATCATGTTAACATACAACATATCTACTGAGGAGTAGACACCATGCTAACATATCTACTGAGGAGTAGACACCATGTTAACATATCTACTGAGGAGTAGACACCATGTTAACATACATCATATTTACTGAAGAGTAGACATCATGTTAACATACAACATATCTATTGAAGAGTAGACATCATGTTAACATACAACATATCTACTGAGGAGTAGACACCATGTAAACATATCTACTGAGGAGTAGACACCATGTTAACATACATCATATTTACTGAAGAGTAGACATCATGTTAACATACAACATATCTATTGAGGAGTAGACATCATGTTAACATACAACATATCTACTGAGGAGTAGACACCATGTTAACATATCTACTGAGGAGTAGACACCATGTTAACATACATCATATTTACTGAAGAGTAGACATCATGTGAACATATCTACTGAGGAGTAGACACCATGTTAACATACAACTTATGTGCTAAGGTGTAGACACCATGTTAACATACAACTTATGTAGTAAGGTGTAGACACCATGTTAACATACAACATATCTACTGAGGAGTAGACACCATGTGAACATATCTACTGAGGAGTAGACACCATGTTAACATATCTACTGAGGAGAAGACACCATGTTAACATATCTACTGACGAGTAGACATCATGTTAACATACAACATATCTACTGAGGAGTAGACACCATGTTAACATACAACATATCTACTGAAGAGTAGACATCATGTTAACATACAACATATCTACAGAGGAGTAGACACCATGTTAACATACAACATATTTACTGAGGAGTTGACACCATGTCAACATACAACATATCTCCGTGGGAGTATTCCCTCCGACACAATGTAGATTATTTACCCATAATAAATCAGATGTCAGTTGAAGACACGAGGTTTGTAGTTCAATCATCATTAAGGTGGTGTATGGTTTTCAGAAAGTTAAGTTAAGAGCATGGGACTGTCCCCCGCCAATTGTTTGACGAGTTAGACACCTGTTGCTAGGTGCAAGGACACCTCACCTACAAAGTTAATTACCATGCCTGTTGACTGGGTGGTTACACAAGAACAAACAATAATAAACCACTTTCGGATAGAACTACTGCAGGATTTAGAAAATAGAGTCTGTCAGATGGGTCTGAGTGGGCAATACTGCAACCGGGTTATCCCCCCTTAACCACACCAGATGTACGTAAATCTTGGTACTTGGCGTCTTTGAAAAACGTCTTAAGTTGAAATGCGATCCGTCTAACTACATATTTCGCACATTAGCCTGTTGTTGTGTAATATAATACAATATCAGTATATAAAATGCCTTTACCAGCGTTTTTATTTACTATTACATTTAACCCCATTTCAATTTCATCTCAGTGTACATTTGTATATCTGTATAAGTATCGTGTTTGTCTATTATCAGCTCACCTAGCCCGACACTTAAGGTAAAACGGGTCAAAATTCTTAAAACACTTAAACCATTTCTTCTTAAAAACCAAAAAACCAGAGTCATGATATTTGTCTTAGAGTTTCTGAGAGAAGCACTGCAAAGTTTGGCCCATAATTAAAGCCTCGTGGGCTAAAGCTCTTCGTTAAAATGTTCAAAATAATTCTTTTAAATAGCCAAAAGGCCTAGAATCATGCTAAGCTTGTGAGTTTCTGAGATAAAGCTTGAGAAACATGTCATGAGGTAAAAGTCTTTATTACATTCAATACCGCAAATTCATCAAAACACTCAGACTGCTTCTCCACCTGCTCATCAATTGTATTAACTGAAATTTCCATCACTTGTCGACAAGTAATGATAACCTTGCTGTTTAAACATGCTAGTTTTACAGTATGTTTGAATAACTTGGATAGAGACCTATTTTGAATGTTAGTGACTAATATGTTCATGCATTGTGAAACATTGCACACCAGATCAGTGATGCATGTCCATGTATTGTGAAACATTGCACACCAGATCAGTGATGCATGTCCATGGGTTCTTTTGCTTCTGCTTAAATTTAAAAATTTTTTCCAGCAGCATATTAAACATATTTTTAAAAGGCTCATTAGAAGTAGTAGGGACTAATCATTGAAGACACCAAGGGGTAAATTAAGGATAATATGGATTAATGACCAAACAAAAGGGGCTAATTAAGGTTCACACCCGAAGTACAGGTGTATTAAAGTTGATAGGCGTGTAGATATCGTTTTTTGACTCAATGGTGGAAACGATAATTATACAATGTAGTTATTCCACAGAGAAAGATGATACGTGGTAAGTGAGCAGAGCAAAATATCTCTCTGGGCGCCGACTTTGTGAGTTTGTCATTTCGCGTTTAACGGTTATTCCTTCTCTCTATATATACGGACGAAATGACATATATACGGACGAAATGACAAACCAGTCCAAATACGTCACTGACAGAGAAGAAAGTTCGAATTCAATGTGTTTGTTTTGGCGACAACTCAATATTTTCTCGTTGGAATTTCTCGCTGATAATGTCATTCCGGATTGAAACCTGTGTACGACAGGCAGTGTGCCCGTCAGCGGACGTGTTTGTGTTTACAATTCTAATACAACCTGTATCAAGTGGAAAATGTGTAAGTGGATCAATAACGTGTCCATGATGCGCTCTTATTTCACGACAACTGGCATCTCACAAAAGGGTCATTATTTTGACGTGATTGGCAAAAACGTCGAAATTCATTCTGCCTTTTTATCATTTAGAGGAACGGGGCCACGGTCAAACTAGCCACCAGTAAAAATTATAACATTCTTCAAACTGTCTGTACGCTCGCCGCTCTGGCAGTTCTGAAGAAGGAGCGGAAACACTAATTTGATATGGCAAATTAGACTTAATATGCCAGAGGCCGTCGTGTTTGATGTGAAGGCATATCGCGTATACCTAGAAACTCTCCAGAAACAATCCAGACCCATTATGTATGAAGAC